TTATGGATATTTATGGATTTTTATCCGCCCAAATGTGGTATTGTTGGTAAAGCAATGTCATAAACCACCCAGATATTGATGGCGTTGAAATCCAACCATGGATGGTAAACTTGGGGATGGTGGATCCGGGTGTGCTTTGCCAACATTACTATAGTTGACTTCATTAAATCCCATAAAATCCTATTAAATTACCATCATATCAACTTATATATAAATGATGGTTTATCACGTCCCCCGATCGGTTTCACCATCTAAATCCGTTGCCACAGCAAACTTGACAGTCTTCCGACTGTCAGTTGCCAGGTGTACTATGTCAGCATTGGTTCTGAACATGTGCAGGAAGGCCTACAGGTGAGGAGGACGGTTTTGGGAAGGGACATTGATGGACGTGGAGAAACCATTATATCCTGGATGTGTAGAAGTATCAGTACATATCTATCTCTTATATTCTCTTATGGTATTCACTTGTCTATTTGTAAATATTTGTTATTGCGTGTCACGCCATTGCGTGTCTATCTAATTTATCTATCCATTCAGAGAAATTCACCCATTGTTCTATCCCACTCCCCAGGTAACTAGGTCTAGGTTTTACCTGTTCTATGGCCCCGGCCAGGTGTTATCAGATGTGGGTCTGGAATCTCAGGCTTCCGCAGCGGTGAGAGGTCTATACAACCAGCATATTGTTTGAGTGAACTATAACAACCAGAGACTATCCTTTGGTTTGGGGGATCCATCCCCCAATCCACCAGACATTGGTTGGCGGATGCCAGGCTGCAAAGTTTGAGGCTGTTGCTGTCATTCTGCTGCCATTTCTTCATGGCTTCACCTGCGAAACCATGGGAAACTGCTGCATTTTTTGGTGGTCTTGAGCTCATGGGTTTGACATGGTTTGACTGGAAATGGAATACACCAGAATCCCGCGTTGGACCATCATTTTCTGTATAGTAGTGTTAATCTATGTTAATTGCTCCAAATTTTGGGGTACATATACTGATTTCGAGGCGAACCCAGTTACCATCCACAAACATACACATATATGTAGATATCCTGTGATATCCCGGTATCTTCCATTTGATTCTGTTTTTTCCATCATATCCATTACTCGTTTTGTCCCATTGCATCATCAGTTGTGGTTTATATAATGCATCCCCTAATCCATGTTGTTGCAAGGTGTTTTATCAGCTTGCTGATGCTGAACGCCTAGGTTTTCAGCCCGCATTCAAACCAGAACGTGTCGAGAAGGACATGGGACATGGGCAACCTGGGAGGTGGAAAACCGTATATAACGTGACACGAGGATGAAAGCCACGCAGCTACACATCATGCAAGGTGCTGCGCTATAGCTAAGTTGTTTTACTTCACTGGGTTAACTAAGGCAACTAAGGTTTATGGCAGAGACTTCTATAAACAAACAAGACGTCACTGTGGGGCACCACCCAGATGAGGTCCTATGCCCTCGCCCGGCTCACCAGCTTTGGCTAGACTCCTGGAATTGGCGATGGAGAGAATGCTGCAGAAGATCATTTATATAAGTTGATACTAAGTTGATTTAATGGTCATTTAATGGGATGTTTGGGATTTAATGACATCAACTATAGTAATGTCAACTATAGGATTTAATGAGATTTTATGTGATTTAATGGAATTTGACCACCTTTTTTTGAAATTCGTCTCAGATGTGGATGGACATGTTATCCACATTTATCACAAGGCGGTCGCTCCGGCCAGTTCGTGGATATCCCCACTCCGGCACATGATATTGACAAAAAGGACATTGAGGTCAAATTGAGGTCAAGAAACAAAAAAACAGCTGTTTCATAAGAGTGGTGTAAAATGGTGATTATATGGTCACTGCATGTAATTAAGATATATTATGATTAAATTTTGAAACTTCAAAGGACTGATAAGCATGGTGATTACTAAGTAATTACCAATTTAATAGCAGCCCTCTCAATGTTTGATGAAACATGCTTGATAAAAATCGAGTTACTGAAGATTAAATAAATTGATAAATCAATAAAGATATATATATATATATATGTTTATGAGTGGCTGCTGCAATGTGCAAGCAGCTGAATGTTGAAGCCAAACCTCAAGGAACCCCAAAAAAAGATAGGGAAAATAATGACATTTGAAATCCACTAGAATAGTGATATGTTACTTTTCTAGCTTTGTTTAGCGTTGCTATTGTACTGAACCATCCATTTTGGAGTAACACGTCACCACCAGAGATTTCCCCCCGGCCAGGAGCGTGCTGCAGTGCTGTCAGAAGCGCAGATGGTGAACGATTGCCAGTATCGTTTGTAGCTGCCTCAGGGGAAAGGCGAAAAGGGGGCATAGGTAATTATTCTGGGATACACCAGCATAGATGATTCACCTCTACATGATGATTTTCCACATCTATGTTGGCTTATAGCAGGGTAACATAGGACAGTTATGACATAATTAGCATAGGAAGATTGGATTGCATCGGTATTTTCTAGTTGAAAATGCTTCCTACCTTTGTCAAATTAACATAGGAAAGTTACCCATTGATGATTTAGCAGTGAACAATTGCTATTTTCCCTGGCTATTACCAGAGGGCAACCCTGCTGTAGGATTGAAATTCTATAATGGCCTGGTCCTATAAGCGCAACGGACAAACCCAACAGAGAGCAGCCGGAGCAGTTTGCAACTAGCGGAATTGCAATCATGATGTTAGATAATCGCAGGCCAACCTAGGATTGGTACAAAGATGATCATCACTGTACACTGCGGTCCACGAAACACTTTGTCAAACATGCATTCTACACAGAAATCAGGCAACATACGCACATATAATTATTATAAAATGTACATGTTTAGGTAATTAAACCATGGTAAATCCATAAATCTTTATACATATATATATATATATCATCTATTTATTTGCACAGTAAACATGTGGAACAGATACTGCACTGTATGAATTGAGGATCTGACGGAAGGCAGCACATTTTCCTACAAGCTAAGCTGAAGTTCTTTGCAGGGTATTCAAAGTCAGCACTTTGCAAATGCGATTTGTGGTTGTCGCAGCCATTTCAGCGCACCAGCGGTCTCCGAGGGCGCTTTCTCCCATCCCCCTGCTGCCGGGTGCAAAACCCGCCAGCAGGAGGGTCATTTTCAAATGGAGAAAACTATCAATGGAGTACCGCGAAGCTCAGGTTGTTCGCAAGCCTCGGGTCCACGATAAAGTTGTAGCCCAAGGAAATCCATGATGAAACAAAGCCACCACTAAGGATCGTTTTCCTGGAGGAATGAGGGGCAAGAGGTACTGTACTTTTTTCCCCACCTGCCAGGTGAGGGTTGTTAGATTTTATGTCAGTTGCCTCCTCCTCCTCCTGCTCCTCCTGCTCCTCCTGCTCCTCCTCCTCCTGCTCCTCCTCCTCCTCCTCCGCCTCCTCCTGCCTCGTCCTCCTCCTCCTCGTCCTCCTTGTCATCCTCGTCGTCCTTGCTCAACTGCGACCCGCGATCCACAGTGTTCTCTGCCGGACCTCAACCACGACCACCCACGCCCAGTGTTCCCTGCCGGACCTCAACCACGACCATCCACGCCCAATGTTCCCTGCCGGACCTCAACCACGACCATCCTCGCCCAGTGTTCCCTGCCGGACCTCAACCACGACCATCCACGCCCAGTGTTCCCTGCCGGACCTCAACCGCGAGTATCCACGCCAAGTGTTCCCTGCCGGACCTCATGTATGAAGATATGGGACAAAGAATGTGCAGAAGAAAGTTAGAAAGAATGTCAGAAGATATGCCAGATAGAATGCCAGATAGAATGCCAGATAGAATGCCAGAAGATATGTCAGAATATATGCCAGAAGATATGCCAGATAGAATGCCAGATAATATGCCAGATAGAATGCCAGATAGAATGCCAGAAGATTTGCCAGATAGAATGCCAGAAAATATGCCAGAAGATGCCAGATAGATATGTCAGAAGATATGCCAGAAGATATGCCAGAAGATGTGCCAGAAGATATGTCAGAATATATGCCAGAAGATATGTCAGATTATATGCCAGAAGATATGTCAGATAGAATGCCAGAAGATATGTCAGATAGAATGCCAGAAGATATGTCAGAATATATGCCAGAAGATATGCCAGATAGAATGCCAGAAGATATGTCAGATAGAGTGCCAGAAGATATGCCAGATAGAATGCCAGAAGATTTGCCAGATAGAATGCCAGAAGATTTGCCAGAAGATATGCCAGATCATATGCCAGAAGATATGCCAGATAGAATGTCAAATAGAATGTCAGAAGATATGTCAGATAGAATGCCAGAAGATTTGCCAGTAAGAAAATGTATAAATGTCATGGTGGGGATCACACGAAGTAAAGTAATTTTTTCCTGGTGGTATTCAGTCACTTTCATTGATTGCTCAACCACTCACAGTACCCGGATCTGTGGGAAGCAAAACAGCGGCCCTTCAAGGATCTCAGCCGCCAACTATATATATATATATATTCAAATTCAATACAATATATCTATATATATATATAATATTAAGATCTCAATCTCAACTCACAAATTTCCTCCAGTTGGTATGGGAAACTCTGAGTTCAGAAAACTCACTGAAACAGCCGCTTGTGCCCCCTCGGTCTTGTTCCTGGAAAGTATGATCCTAGCGTCCTCACATCTCACTGTGCAGAATTGGTTCTGGAGGGAAAAACAGGAACCTCACATACTTTTCTGGTTCGTGGTTTGGAACATTTTTTATTTTTCCATATATTGGGAATAATCATCCCAACTGACTTTCATATTTTTCAGAGGGGTAGGTCAACCACCAACCAGTTATGTGTCTAATACCTTCTGGTAAAATCAGCACTGCCATAAAATTTGTAGGCGACTTGTACTTGCAGCTGTTTTACCACCGTTTTACCATGATTTAGCTCTTCAAAATTGCCATGTTCCATGAGTTCCATGGCTATCAACACATCATCCCCTGGACCTTGGCCCCACTCCTTGGCTGAGGAAAGCAAGACGCCATGAAGCTGGCGAACGAAAAGCTCCTGAAGCACCTCTGTGGGAAGGCCTGCGACCTCACGTTTTGTTTATTTAGGTTGGTTAATTAGTACAAAGTGGACCCCTGTTTATGATAGCTGCTAGCTAAGTTGGTAAACATAATTATGGTTAAATTACATACTACTTATATGTAGCTATAGTGAAATTGGGGGTTTAAAAACAACTTATAACTTGCGGGCTCCACAGGCGATTGTGTGGTACAAGGTGGGGCCCCCCAAACGGTAGCTAAGTTGACGCAAACAACTTGGTTAACTATCGGGGTCTAGGGGATTAAAACTAACACCTAGTGGAGGTAGAAACCAACTTACAACTGGGGGTCTCACCTTCTATACCATCCCATTCAATGGAAATCTCATTCGTATGGTTTATTAGTGTTCGTCATGTTTGAGTAATGGTAATCTGATCGTTTTGGTAATTGTATGCATTTCAGTTAGCAAGGGATTGTTTGGTACCCTCTGGTAATTTAACATAGCTTTGGAGAATCATCATGTTTAATAGGAAAACCATCTGCAAATGAGCAATTGTCCATAGCTATATTATCCTACCAGAAGGTAATCGTATGCAATTCAGTCGTGTAATGGGTAGGAATCACACATGTCGTGAAAGAATTGAATGCTGATCGGAAATGTGTGTTGAGAACGTTTATGAATGAACATTGGCAGATGGTATATCGTTTGCTTCAAACATGAACATCGTATGGCATACCCCTTCTCAAGCAGAGAAACAAATACATACATGCTATTAAATTTCACATATATATATATATAATACACATATCACAGGTGTATATACATATACTATAGTTTTATTCATACACGCGCACACACACATATATATATATATATAAATATAGGCTGATGATTTTGTTTCATGCATTGTCCCATTCAAAATTCGCGGAGTTTTCTCAGGGTGACTTCCTGCAGAGCAAGAGACGCTGCCTCGTTGTGCATGAGACCTTCTTCTGTTTGGCCAACTGCACAGGCGTGGCTTGTTGGACCAGGTTGGGCCTCTCTGAATCTGAAAAAAATCCATGGATCCTTAGGAAAATGATCCACACCACTTTCCATGGGCTTTCCCGTAGTTTTTGTTGGTTGTTTACTGGAAGGCAATGATGGTTCAAAGGGGAATTTGAACCAATCAAGGCAATAAAGATCGACCGTCACCATTTCTCAGGATGATGGGTAGATAGAACCAATACTGTATCTGTAATAGATATGGAAAACCTGGAGATGCCAAGCATTTTCAAGGCCCTAAGCCCTGAAGTTTTGGAAATCCAGACTCATCCGGAACAAAAACGGAGCGCCAAGACGAGATCCAGCGATTTGGACAGGGCCATGTCTCGCCAGAAATGGAGCTATATGTATAATATCTATAGATCATTTTATATCTATGTCATACTGTTTCTGTAACATGTACCCTTTGGTTATTTAACATATGTAACTGTGGGAAATGGCCCATTTCTAGATGATTTATGCATATTTACCTATTAAGAATTGTTGTTTTCCCATAACTACGTTAAATTACCAAAGGGCATTCAGAAATTCAATATTTGCCGTTCATTTTTTACCTGGTATGAAGAGATTTTTTAAAGGGATCTCCTGCAGGTTGCCAGAAACTCCATGCAGCTTGGCAGCGGATCTGGGTCCTTCGTAAGATGGGGCCCATCAGTTACGTTATGTGAACATTGGTTTATAAACCCCATTGGCTATAGTTATAATACCATAGGATGAATGGTATTTTATGGGATTTAATGGGGCTTAATACTATACTTATAAGTTACCATGAACCATATAGTTATTATAAGACTTATGTTCACCAACTGATATAGCTATCCTAAGCGGGGCCCCTGACGGGGGAATGGCACCTCGAGTCAAGCCTTGGGGGGCCATGGGACCCAACCCCAACTGCACCCGGTTTTGATCTAAGGCGAAGGGCCGAGAGTGGAAGGTGAAGGACATTTGGGTGGAAATCTTTGAAGCCGAGACTCGTCCCATGGAATCCAAAAACGGTGTGACACGTGGAGTCCACTGGCCTTGTTCGAATTGTTTGGATGATCTCATTGTTGCGTTTTTTTCGGCGACCGATGATGGAACCGTTGATGTTTTTGAGGAAAAAATTGGATCTTTAGCAACCAGATTGTGGATTTGTAGCAGCACCGCTGATCTCGTGATACGATAACTCACTCATCTTCGCATCCACTACGGCCTGTCCTATCCTAAGGAATAAACAAAACTAAGCTCCCCAGAATTCCTGACAGATTGTGATGAATCTATTCATGTTTGGCAGAAATGGGCCCAATGAATTCTTTCCTGGCCTTGTTCACTAGAAAATCTGCAAACAAACATGTCTTGTCCCATGAAAATCCAAGGGTGTTCCGTTGACGTCCGTTGATGTTTGATTCAACCAAGTCTCTGAATACCTGGCAAAGGAATCATCCGTGTTTATTTTCAAAGTGTCTTATTAACATGTGCCCATTCATGGGGAGATGAGATGTCCCATTTGCATCCATTTCCATCCATCTCCATGTTTGAAACCGGACAGTCAACGGCATCATATTTTCTGAATTTCTGCTGTGCTTTGCCACCTCTGTGCCGCAACGCGTCGAGGATCACTCTTTCGGCACCCAGGACTCTGCCGGGGGGAACAATACATAGCACCTTTTTTTTCTCGGTAGATGTTGCAGATGCTCCAAGTGTTTTGGACAAAATCCATTTAAAACGTGTATGGTTTGACATGCATTTGTTTCACTGGATGTCTCTTAGATTAAGATAGCATATTTGCCTTCTGGATGTAGTTTCAGAGGACTGCATTAGTACTGTATGTACATCGGTCCAATTTGTTTCTCCTCTATATTGTTGGTTTCGTCGCCCACTTTTGTCGGTGCAATTCCATGAAATTCCTATGTTTGTATCTGAAAATATGACTTTTGAAATCCGCATATTCGCCAATGACATCCTCGTTGTTCTTGTTTGCTTTCGGATATATTTCATTGAGTCAATCGCATGTTTGCATTCAATCCCCATCCTCTGCCAGTGTTGGCAGGTGAATCCGAATCTTCTCCACTCACGTTCCTTGTCGGAGTCGGTGTGTTGCTCAGGATGACTGTGCGGGTCTTGGCGTTCTTGTCCATGCGGTGGCAAATCAACAGCACGTGCTCACGGAGGAGCCTCTTGGCCGCTACGGGGATGAGCTCAGGTTCTCATCTGTGATGTGGGCTGCATGAAACTCTCCATATTTTTGGAGCAAAAAAAATATGAATTTGGCCAACAAAAAAAACATAAACCATCAGAAACCATGTTCAAGTCCCTGACTTGGATTCGTGTCTCTGAATCAGAAGAACAACTGATTAACTAGTGCATTTAGTCAAACCCATGTGTTGCCAAACACATTATATAAGCAGTTTTGTAGGATTTAATCAGGACAAACCTTCGTTGGTTCTGAACATCCCGGGTATTGCTACTGGTCCCAGATCCAAGTTGCTTGAGTTAGATCCTGCTGATTCGTTGCTGGCCAGGCATTACTTTCCAGTTATGAATGTTATGCTGGTCGAGAATCCCATGGTAACCCATATATCCCGCATTTCTGTTGTTGAAATCCCGATTTCTTTGTTGCTTGCTTAACTTAACTTAACTCACATCAATTCTTTGGTGTCTGATGTTTATTTGTCCCAAAAAAAACACTGCGTGTTTGCGACCTTTTTTGTTCGCCAGCCGCGCAGGTTTTACTTCGAAGCCGCCGACTTCTTGTGGAAGGTGCTCTCGGACGCCGGCGAGCTGCCTGAGGCTTTGACTGAGCTGGAGGGGAAGGAGCGAAGCGGATGGTATGGGGGCCGCAGTTCCAGTTTTAAGTTTTAAGTGAAAATACAATCATAATTCATGATTTATAAATATACATAGAGATAGATAGAGAGACGGAGAGTTATATATATATAAATGCATGCATAGGAGTATGGATATATAAACATAGCTGCACTAATATCATATCGCAACGAATTGGGTTTCTGACCATAGTCATGGAAGCTATACGCATTTATAACCCCAACTGCACGCCGGAGTAGGGCGAGATGCAGAATCAAATCATTTTGGGGAATGGATTATTTATTTCACCCCATGATCATCCCATCTATATATGAATCACCAAAAACAGACTGGATGAACATATCATGCATGTGGCAAATTCATGGAACCATATGGAGAGACTCGAGGCCTACAATGCCAGAAACTATCCTCAATCATAAACTAATTGTCAAGGCCAGGAATAAAATCATCTCATTGTTGAGGCCACATATGTGTATGCATAATCATAGGCGTACAGTATACACACAATCAATCACTAGCCGCCGGGATGGTTTCGTATTGCAAAACCGCTGATTCACCAACATCTAAGTACCCTTTGGTTATGTCAAAATAGCTATTGAAAAGGCCCATTTATACATTGAAAATGGTAATGTTCCATAATTAGCTATGTTTATGTTACCAGAAGGTAATCATTTTGAATTTTTGGTTGCCAAACCATCCAAATTTTCTTCATTGTTTCAATGCACATACCTTTGCAAACTCCTTGCGTGAAACGATCCGAACAAAGTTCTTTGTTCTTATTTGGCATCACGGCTGCGGCATTCTTGGATGGGTTGAAACCCCCACAGCGGGTGGCCATGGGATTGGTTGCATCCCTTCTGTGGTGCCGTGATGGTGATGGTGTCATTCCCTGACTAAACCTTGACCATCAAGAGTTACCCCCAAAAAAACGAATTGGCATTCATCTATAATTCTTGAACTTCTATTTTGTTTGATTTTAAATTCAGATAAATGCTATATATATATATGATGTTACGTATAGATAGATAGATAGATAGATAGATAGATAGATCGATAGATCGATAGATCGATAGATCGATAGATCGATAGATCGATAGATCGATAGATCGATAGATAGAAAGATCGATAGATCGATAGATCGATAGGTCGATAGGTCGATAGATCGATAGATCGATTCAATAGATCCGATAGATTAGATAGAATAGATCGGTTAGATCGATTAGATAGATTAGATAGATTAGATCGGTTAGATCGATTAGATCGATTAGATCGATTTGACCGATTAGATCAATTAGATAGATTAGATAGATTAGATAGATTAGAAAGATTAGATAGATAAGATAGAATCAACAGATAAATGTAATTCTATAGATAAGATAGAATCGAATAGAATATACAAGAATAGAATAGATGGATGGAATAGATAGAAAGATAGAACGATAGAACAATAGAAAGAAAAAACAAAATATAGAGACTTAGATAGGTAGGTAGGTAGGTAGGTAGACAGATAGATAGATAGGTAGATAGATAGATAGATAGATTTATTGATATACTGTATATATATATATATGCACAAATCTATTCAAACAATGCTTCATCATTGAAATTGGCACCTCCTTGTCAAAATGTCGTCGGTTTAGCAAACCCCTTGGGTTCCCATGGAGGAGCTAAAAGAGGAAAAGTGCATCCGCCTTTGCGACTCTGCAGCGACTTTCGCCGGGCGCTGCTGAGATGGGAGCTGCAAGGGGGTGGTCGGATCGATCATTTTGTAATGCATCCTGGATGGTGGAATTAAAGCTTGGTATGAATTTCAGAATGTTTGGTTAATCTTGGCAAACTAATTTGAATCATGTATCTACATTTTGGCTGAATTATTAGCCAGGTTAATTATTAGCCAGGTTATATGTTGCTTGTGCTCTGGTAATCTAACACTAGGAAACACAGCAATGGACATTTCCCCACATTTCAAAATTATGTTCCCATTAGCACTTCCATTTAGTTTGGGGATTTCCCAGCTAGCCACGCTTGACAAATCTTCGGGAGCCTCAGAAATGGCCTTTCACAAGGCGAGTTGCTGGACGTCATCGCTGCCAGCGCTGGGATCAGATCCTACTACCGTGCCATGGGGCTTCCCATGCCGCAGCTGCCAGTGGCGGAGGCGGATCAGACCCTTGGAGCTGGGATGATCTGGGATGGAATGGGCCCAAAGGTAAATTGTCCCTTTTTTTTTGCAATAAACGATGGCTTCATACCACAGATAAACAGCATTGGTGATTCCGTGGGTTTGGAGTTTTGACCTACATATTGCACACAAGTGAGTAATTATATGTAATTATATATGCATATGCTGTTCTGTGAAATACATATGCACATACATTACATTACCTTGCATTGCATTACATTACAATACATACATACATGCATATTTTTGGTTTATTTGTATATATATATATATATTTATTTATTTATTTATATTTACTGTACATGTAGCAACCTACCAAAAAGATAGAAACACTGTTCCAGGATGCTTTACCCTGTGGTAATAAAACATGACTAGCTGGAAAATCTACCATTTACTTACTTCGATGATTTTACCACTATTATCAAACATTTACCAATTGTTATTGGTTCCTTATTACCAATCAACCACTATTGTTACCGTTATTATCCCAATATCATCCCATAATTATTGGCCCTGCTATATCCATAAATATTCCCCAGAAACACCAAGAAACCACCATGAAACCACTCCAAAACCATCATAAATCCATTACAAAAGCATCATAAATCACTACAAAACCACCATAAATTCCCATCATAAGTTCCCCCATAAACCCATCCTCAGGACGCCGCACTTTCGTCGCGTCACGGAGATTTGCTCCAGCGGTCTGCAGTGGGATCCGGCCGTCGCTTGGGCGCCACGCGACTTGGATCATGCAAATACAAAGGTGGTTGAATCATCAATACTGGTTGGTGGTTTGGAACGATTTTTTATTTTCCATAATATATGGGATAATCCTTCCCATTGACTAATATGTTTCAAGATGGTTGAAATTGAAACCCTCAACCAGAATAAATCGGGAATTCACCCTCCATTATAAACATGAGGAATTATGCATCAACATTGTGAACGAAACAATACTGATTTAACTTAAACATATTGAACTGCAGGTTTAAATCATCTTAAATTGGACTTGTAGCCACATAAACCAGTGGACTTTAGGGGTGTGTTTCATATTAACGGTTTGGTTTTGTTCATTTACTCGATGTAAACCATCTCCATCCATCCATAAATCAGGAGCAAACTAAATGGACAAACACACCATGACTGTCGTAAGATTATGTAATTTGGGGTCCACAATGCCATCGAGAAAATTATCAACTCAACTTAGAAATATCATACCCACTTGGCATGATTTTAATGATCACATACTATACTTGATATATTTTACAATAATTAGTATACTTTAGGTAATGTATACAAATTATAGTATACTTCATGATCCCATACCTGGTTTGATTCTAAAGATCGTATTTCAACTATAGTCTTCTCAAATCGCCGAGGACTGCAGGGCCAAGATGTCAACCTGGAAGTCTACAAAACGCTTCTCGCCGGGCAGGTGTCACTGGATGTTTTCCAGGGTAAACATCCAAAAAAGAAGGGAAAACCCAGAAAACTCCGGGAAACAATGCGTAGGACATGATCTAGAACTGGTGTTCAGAAAACATATCATACATATCTATGTGACAATTTGAATTGCCAGTGGGGAAACCCAATGTGGAATAAAGGAAACATAAGAAACCATGATATTCACCTAGAAACCTGGGAATATGTTTTCTCATTTGCGATCACGGGAACTATTGGCATTTTGGGCATGACCTCACTGGCTGTGAGATGAGAACAGTAATGTTAGCAAAGCCACCTTGAATCACCCATATACCATTTGGTTTTTTAACATAGCCATGGAAGCCATGGCCCATAGAAATAGATGGTTTACCGAACTTAATAGCATGGTGCTTGATTTTCCATGGCAAACTGTGAGTCATATCCAGATGGTAAACATTCATATAAATCCATATAACCATCAAAATTTTATTGGGTACAACCATCAGCCATAAAATATATCCAGATGGTATATGATTTTATTGGGGATGGTTGTGCCCATAAAATGTTGATGGTTATATGAGCATTGATGGGCCATTTTCCATTGCTATGTTAATGGTATATTGATGATTTTTACCACCCATGGTGAAATTGGTGATGATTTACTGCCCAGCAAGTTGCTGTAGACTTGATCCAGCTGGGGAATCTAAGGGTCCCGAATGGGCCCCTACACCTTGAAAGATCTTCGAATGTACAAATGTAAGCAACTGCTATTTAAAGTTGATGCAAATGCATATATATATAATATATATATAATTATATATATATACACTTTTTGGTAATGTAAGGATATACCCTCCGGCAATCAAGCATGGCAATGTTTTTGTCCGGTTTGTTCTACGTTTTTCTCATTGAAAAAAGAAACATTCAGTTCAGGTGTTTCCGAGCCAGCCACATTTGATGACAGATGACACTGGTAAATCCCATTGGTTATCCCATCAAGATCCATTAAGGATCCATTATTAAGAACCATTACTACCATGATTATTGTTAAATCATTTTTTCAATCATTATTTTCAACCATTAGTATTGATTAAATATTATTATTACTGGTTATTTGTCGTGTGTTACTATTATTGTTTTTATTGTTACTGTGTTTCATGATTATTATATTATTGTTGTTATTGTTATTATTGCCAAACAAATATTACAACCGGATGAGAGTATATATATATATAAATATTCATTTTTGTTGAGAATCCCAGGCCCAGGGCGCGGATGTTTCATGTTTCGAGGTTGGGCATGGAGAGGAGCCCAGTGATGGCTGGCATGAGCCGGCCAGATAATCCCAACAGCAAGTGGGTGCCTTGCTACATCATGCCGGTGATGCCGCCGGTTTCATGTGTATTCTCATGAATTTATAAAGATCATCGAGAGGTGATTACCCTCTGGTAAACTAACATAGCTACAAAATCACCATTTGTTAGTAGGTAAACCATCTATAAATGTGCAATTTTCCATAGCTATGTTAGTTTACCAGAGGGTAAGAGCTTCTTAACAACAAACATCCACTACTTGGCTTTGGGTGGAAAATAAGCTATCTCCAGAGTCCAGTGGTTTATCGTCATGTTCCGTAGTAATATGATATGTTGGTGGATGCTGGCGTTTTTCAAATTCCATTTTCAGACACACCCACTCAGGATCTTTTACCCTCTGGTGAACTAACATAGCTATTGAACATGGTGATTTAAAGTGGATTTACCCATTAAGAATGGTGATTTTCCATAATTATGTAAACGTTTACCAGAGGGCAAAGCATTTAAAAGCATCCTCCACGGCAATTGTTTTTTTGGGATCACCTTCAGAAAAGGGGGATGGTGAATCCCCGTCTGGTATCATGGGTGGCAAGTGGAGACACTTCCAATGACCGTTGTTTCTATTCGGGTGATACCCCAAAGTGGGTACCCCCAAATTATCAAAAATTGGCGATCTGGTAATCAAGCATACTTGCCGGAAATCACCCATGTACTTCGATGTTTTTCCCAGCTGTAAACTCCCTTTATGTGCGATGTTCTAGCCATGTTTGAGGACGCTGGAGGCTGAGGGTATCAAAATTTCAATGGGAAAGCCAATGGTTTTGGGGTAATGTGGTCAAAACAATAGTAAACCATCCCCCAAATCACCATTTTTACTAGGTGGTATGTAGAAACCATTCTCAGATGGGTAGTTTATTGTTTTACCATGTTTTATCCACATGACACCCAACAAAAATCTCCCCAGAACTCGAACTCGGTGCTGAGAGAATATCCGTCCTGTCCGTCCCTAAGGAGGGAGCGTTGACGACAGCTTACCATTGGTTACTTGGGCCACGACTTGTCGTTGGATGTTGGAACATTAAGTAGCCTTTGGTGTCCTCAAAGGTGGCTGGAAAATTCCTTGGTTTCGTGGAGGTTTAGAGGGAAGAATAGGGGATGTTCCATCTAGCCACGTTTGAGTCCCCGAGGGTAACAATGCTATAATAATTAGGTGGATAGGTTGCTTAATCACCAAAAACGGTGGTTTCATTTGGTAACTTATCATAGTTTAACCATCTATTAGCCAGTGAAATTCCCAATGCGCCCCAAAAAAGGGGCCCCAAAATCAAGAGATCCAATACCAGACCAAGGTCTCGTTCCGAGGGGTATTTAAGATTGGGGGAAGGTTTTGTTTTTAAATATGTTGGGACGTATTGGAACATGTTGGTTTTGTCTGAAAACATGGTACCAAAAAGATCCAACAAGTTAGTTAGATGTTTTCCTGGGGTATACCCAGCCATTTGTTGGAATATGTTGGAATATCATGTCTGCTTGCCACAACAATAAGCGCACTCGGATTCTTGAAGTGCCCTGGAAGTTCGACTTGGTGTGGTCGGGGGAAGGTAGACACACACATGTGTGTGTGAGGATGTATATGCAATTATATGTAGCGTACATACTTACATCCTTTCATCCATCCATCCATCCATCCATCCATGCATGCATGCATGCATGCATGCATAGACATACACACACAAATCTTATTCAAATATGACTGGAATCAGTTTTTGACGAGGTAGGACAGCTTGTTGAAGGTACAATGTCTGGCATTTTTGCAGAGACCAAGATGTTGGGTCGCCTGGGTTTCCCATGAAATCTTCCCATGAAATGGGGGGCTTGCCAGGGGGGAGTAATGAGTAATCCCTTCCCCATATGAAACACCCAACGAAATCATGGTTTAGTAGGGAATTTCTTGAGATTTCACCACATTTCGTAGGGACCAAAGTCCATGGGGCTTCAGTCATGACCTCTTGGCGACGTCGCAACAGGTTCCATTGGAGTTCCGTGGCGTACCCCCCGCGCCTTTGAAACAGCACAGTCGGAGGAGTCGGTCAGAAGCCATCTACCAGATATGGTGGAGCTGTTGGAAACCTTTGAGTATTGCATGTTTAAAAACCAAGATTCAAAAATCAATGATTTGCAAGACTCAGCCCCAAATCGTCGGTTTGTTGGCTTTACCACAATGACGACATTAATATCATGACTCAACGTGTTGACTATCATTGAAATATATTCCAACACATTTGAAGAGGTTTGGACCAAGGACATGCCTTTGTCTTGTAAGCGAACATGGGGATTAACGAACACAAGTGTGGATTCAACCGACAAGAATTGAATTTGATTCCAAGCAACATAACGAGTCAAACTCACCGAGATGGGCATACATTTGCACTGGGTGATGCGTGCCACCCACAACTAGAATTCGCGTGAGTTCCCCACACCTAGAACCATCTTGAAGTCGACCTGCGACTTACGCTGACGCCTCACCAAGCTTCGACTTGGAATAGAAATTCAGCAATTCAGAAACAACTCCAAACTCATTGTTTGGTAAACCCAAGGATAAACCTACCAATTGGGGATGATGTTTACCACCCATTTCTGAGAATAGTGGGGATGGTTTCTTATTGGGTATACAGTGCCACTGTGCATGTCCAGAAAAGCACTGATTCAAATCTCCAGCTACATCCAGCCTTGCAGCCGGGCCGAGGAATTTTGCAATCTTCCAAATGAAACCCTTTCCGGGATCCAAGATCAGCCGCGCCGTCACTGTGACCTAAGAGCAGGTTCCCCACGTTTGGCCTTTAGTCAATGCCAGAATTGACATTAAATTGGGGCCATATCGCAGTTGTAATTTGTATATTATTATTATATATGTTTGTCTCGCCGCTCATCAATTCATCTACATTATGCTTTGTACAACCGAGACAAAACTTGGTGATTAAGCGTCCCTGCTAACTCAGGTACACATAGCACATGCGTTTTCCAAATTCCATCATCAATAGGATGCTACTGTCCCTCCTACAAACATAGGCTCTGACAAATGAGAGGTTAGACTACTACCTTGGAATGAGCGATTCTCGGGGTCCAGTCTGATAGTTGGGGGATGGTAGCATTTGAGCTTCTTTCAGGACCTGGAGATATCCCAAATCCGTCAGTTCAGGAACCAGGGTTGTAACCCGCTGAAGGAAGAGATAACCATCACTTTGAGGACTTTGTCACCAGGCTGACTATCCCTTTTCCAACTGGTCTGCAAATATCCCAATATGGCACCTGGGCACCAAGGGTGCGAAGATAGACTAAGGACATGGAGAGCATTGCGTCAGCCTACACGACTGGAATTCATTGTGTTTTCTGACGGGACGGCCATATCATGATGAGAGATACTGCTTTGCTGTTTGGAGACCGGCTACACCGTGATGTGCAACTCATGGTGGATCTAGGTTGCTGGGTGAAAAGTCTGGTACCGGATGGTACCCGACTGGTCATAGTCATAGCTGATTGATGGATGTTTATTCCCCAAGTCATATGGGAAGGTAATTTCACATAATTTCACAGATTTTGACCCATCAGGTGTGAATGATACTGATTGACTTTACCAGTGTTCCTTAGAGTGCTGGTTCTTTGAGGTGAACACAGGAATGCCAGAAGGAATAGACATCCGTTTTTTCGGATGTGCATCCCAGTTAGTAAGGAGAATCATATCCACAGCCAGCTATAGAGTTATAGACAGTTTTAGGTGCAAATAAGATTCAAAGAACACTTGAACATAGTGAATGTAGAATACTTAGGTAGGTAGACAGACAGCTGTAGATAGATCATGATAGATCCCCATGTGCACAATGAGTTACCAACTGGGACTCAGATTCTCAGGTAGTGCCATGGCAGATGAACGTTTGCCCGCTGAGCCCGGGGCACCAAGCCCACGGCAGCGCATTGACAGATGCTGAGCTGAAGATTTAAGGGCTTTAACCATGAACCATAAGCATTTTCCATAGGGAAATCATCTATAAAATATCTATAAATTTAAATGGTCCATCTGGGTAAATTATAACGACCTCACTGCGACCTCACTGGAATCATGAGAAATCATCCCCAAATGGCCTTAATTCAGGTCAGTGAATTATTTTAATTTACCCAGATCTATAATGCTCCATGTTCAGTAACTATATTTTGGTTTACCAGGGGTCAACTTTGGTGAATGGATGTGAATGGCAGATGTGTTGAGCATGTCTCACTGAAAAGGGGAAACACCTGACTAGCTAAGTTCCGCGATAAATGGTGAATTGCCTGAGCCGCCCATCATTGCTGGTTGCAGGGCATCCCTGGGTTTGTAGGATTAACGGTGATTTGAGTAGTTTGGAGCCAAGACTCACAGATACAACTGGCTCTGTTTCAAAATCGGTAACTGAACATGTGAGGCTTTTTCACTCATCTTCCGAAAACAAATAATTGCCATTCTGTGGCCATGTTATGCCATTTTTGAGACCAATCATGACTTAGTGTGTCGCTCTTTCACGTTTTTGGAGGGTCTCTCTAGACGCTCTCGTATACCCTTTATTATCTTGCTCTCGTATACAATCCAACGAGATCAGAAACAGCAGTCCCATTGATGTGTTCCCATGTGGGAATCCCTTTCTCCACATTCTTGAGATGCCCATTTGGTGAAAAATCAACAATTTTCACAATGGCACCAATGGCCCTGGAAGGGTGCACAGGAAGGCTTCCCGGATCCCCTTAATCTGGGGGCTTCATCTGGGGGATCAAATGTACACAGGAAGCCCCTTGGTATACGGGAACCCTTTTAAGGGCACAGAGCCTCTAAAGAGACCGTGGAGGATCCCGCGTAAATCACCGGTCCGCCGTGCAGGATGCGTCCAGGCTCTGAAGGATGCCGCGGGCGAAGAGGTCTTGGCCAACGCCGCCGGTGTTGTGGCCATGTTCACGGCGATGACTATGGTGGTGGATGCCACCTGGGCCTCTGAAAATGGGGTACTTGAAGGATCCCACGAAGGAAACCATGGTGGGTCCTCCGCTGTCCCACATAATAAGTGGATTGTAACCCCACCTACCAGGGATACCAGGTACTGGGCTTGTTGAAGTGACAATTTCAGTGGGAAATGGGCGAAGATGGGCAAAGCAGCCAAAGGTGATTCCGCGTTGTGTCAGCAAGGTCCAGTGCACAGAACCTCGTGGTTTCTATCTGTAAATATTGATTCTCATAGTTTGATAGTCATATATATATATATGTATATTATATATATATATATTACAGTATCTGTGTACATTTGTATATGTGTAGACCCACATAACATATATATCTATCTATCTATCTATCTATCTATCTGTCTATCTGTCTATCTGTCTATCTGTCTATCTGTCTATCTGTCTATCTGTCTATCTGTCTATCTGTCTATCTGTCTATCTATCTATCTATCTATCTATCTATCTTATTGTTTATATACATATATATGTACATTTATATAAGATATTGGAAATGAACCTCACAAGGGAGCTAGCCTCACCCCAATATAAGCATCATGGCTGACAGTTCTTGTACATAGTTTGCTGGAGATTTCATATTTTGAACCCAATCATACACCATCCCCATGTTCAAAAGAAATGTGTGGTTGGTAGAAACCAGTCTGAAATGACAGGTTCGGTTTATGGTTCAATTTGCCACATGATGCACCAGGCTAAGCTTTTATCAATCGCCAAGCACTTGAAGTCAATCACCGATGTTTTTGGAGCAAAGCCAGCAACCCTCCACCTGACTGTTTTAGAAGCGATCCAGCTTTCATGGCGCGAATAAAGTCCATGTTCCCAAACTTATCATATTAAGTCGTATATATATATATATATATATATACACCTATATATAGATTGAGCATTGTTCGTATTTCATTCAGCTTGGTCAAATATGGCCATTTGGGCAATGTTAAAAAAATTGATATGTGGGAGAACGGGTTTCTTTCTCCGTCCGTTTCTCCTCCCTGGCCCAAATATTGGCCTAGTCCCAAGGCCACAGGGCAGTCGTCCAAAGAATTTGCGATCATGCAGAAGTATGCCAGCAAATTCCTGCGCTGGACATTTAGCAATATTTACATGGGCGCCGGCCGGATGTTTGTAAATTCCAAGTGGCTGGTTGTCATAATAAATTTTATTTTTTTTTAAGCTATGTTGTATTTTTGATGTTTGTCTATTACTGTATAAATTATAAAATAATATTTATATATATATATATGTAAATATTACATATGTTATGCGCTATATATGTTCTTACTATATATAATAGGAAGTGTCATGTTGGTATCACCGAAAAGGTGCTGAAGAGTTTCTCTGTGGTTCAAGCAACTAGACATAGCTAGACTATGATTGGAACTGCCGCAATCCTGCTGGTTGCGTTGCATGCCTCGCTTTTTGCAACAAGTTTAGACATGGGGGATGGCACCACTTGGTCAGCCCGGAATCCTCGTGTTTCTCATGCCCTTCATCCGTGTCCAAGGAAGAGAAACCTGGCAGCGTTCTGTCCTTGCATTCAAGGATAGCCAGGGAACCAGGTGCGATGATTCTGGGTCAGTCTGGATTCGGTGGCTTCATGGGTGGCTTTATAGCCAGAAATGGAGGAATAGACTGACCGTGTCATATCCAGTTAGAGATTGCTTTGTTCTTTAAATTTTCCGGGTATCTAAGTTAAGCCACGATTCCATCCCACATAGCAGCTCTGCTGAACATGAAAAATACCTGCAGCGTGGTTCACCCTCTCAGCTGGTGGTTCCATGGGTTCCATGGCGTCGGGTTCAACCAATCGCCAGACGTACGCATGGTTTTAGACGAACGTCCGAGATGAACGCCTTGGCTCCAGAAACCAAACTGGTCAAATCGTTGATTCTGCTGGGATGATTTCTGATTTTACTAGTATAGGGAGGAGTGCATTCTGTGAAAGAATCACTGGCCTAGGACCTCTTTGAGAGCAGGTCTTACTGCAAACTGATAAGACCAAAAATGCTAATTACTGCATGATGAGTCTAGAAACGTGAATGGTGATGAAACTGCAAATCCCTAGGTTTTGTTTGTGCAAATTCACAAAGGTTGTTGAGATGGCGATATATTGGATCATATTGGATCATATTGAATATGATTGCATGTAATTATCTGATTACCAATGTCAATTAGTAAGAAAGGACCACTATCTATTCCCCTTTCGGAAATTTCACCAGGATGCTTCAGAGCCGGTCCCGGTCCTTTGAACGATGTGTACAGCGTAGGTCGCCAGCTCTATAGGGCTCTAGAAGTTCATTTTTCAGACAGTTTTCGGCACATTTCAATGTGCCGTTTCCAATCCGGAAGCAACATTCATGTGCAGTGGAGCTGTAAGCGTTGGGATATCACATATATATATATTGCTTATGTAAATATTTATGTCATATATAGTCTAAATATAAAATGTTTTTTTTAATGCATACTGTTTAAAACACGTTGATAGTCAGATGAGCCTGAAGTTTTCATTGAAGATTGCCGCAAGAAACAGGCTGCTAATTATTGAAAGCAAGACTCTATGCACGGGAGGCACCGTAAGTGCTTTTCCCTCTCCATAAATTTGAAAATGCACCCATCCATCCAATAGAGATATATCCAGCATGAACTTCCGTTAATCGTTAACCCACTAAGAAACAAACCTAGCAAACTATACTTATAATCATACGTATACACACATACATGTTATATATATATATGTATATATAATTATATATATATATATACATGTGAACATTGTTCATTACTTTTTTCCGGGAGGGGGCGTGCAAGTGCAAATTAAACTTGACGTTAGTGTGCTTGCCCTAGGTAAACTAACATAGATGTGGAACATCAACCATGTAGACATTTCATTTGTAGATTATTCTCTTGGGGAAAACATGTGTTTTCCGCATCTGAGTTAGATGAAGTTAGTTTACCCCATGGCACATCCATGTTTCTTCCAACCAGCTCAACTAACTTACCAAACAACTTCGCAAGTCCTTCATCTTGCAGCCTCCACTTGCCTTCAGCATTGTCGGCACAACCCCAGCGCAGTTTCGGAGAGTTTCTGGGTGGCAAGCGGATGAGGTCGACCACAACGGTGGAGACCAGGTAGAGAAACTGCACCGAGACATGATTGAAAAAAGGTGGAAATCTGATGAGGTAACACATGGTAAGTGGGGAGGACATGAAATTGTGATGACACATTTGGATACATTTGGAACAGTTTGGAACATTTTGGATACATTTTGGAACATTTTGGAACATTACGGTTACTGTGGAAATATGAAAGTTTTATGGAACATTTTGGATACATGATCGGCCAATGGATCCCAAGTGGGGTTCAGGTTCACCACCGTTTTCCAATCCGGGGGTCATTGATCGTGTGTTGACATGGTTAGTTCTATATTGCCATCACCTGATGATTTATAATGTCATCCCTGGATTAATAAACCCCAAACGGCTGTTTAAGTGGGAGGGTGCCATGAAAAAGTATCAGATGAAATGACTATTGGAGGAGCACCCCCTAATTTCAAAACAATGGTTTAGTCTCATCCGGGGTTGACATGTATGTTGTGGATTGTAACTTTACTCCATCAACTTCCCATAGTAAACCCCCGATAGTCATCGTCATCCCCCCTTGATATTCTTGCACTATTTTCTTAGCCATTTGATGCCCATTAAAAGCCAAGAGTTTGTAACGAAAGTGGCTGGGCTATGATTACATATTATCCTCTCAGCAAAATTGCTGGCTATATACCCCAGTTTTATGGCTTCATTCCTGTTGCCGTCATTGTATAGCGTTCATGTTCCCTATTCAAATCGTAATTTTGGGATACATCCCAATGTCAGACACCCCCAACCAAGTACAGTAGTGGTCATCATTGATTTTGCCTGGTCTCAACAGCCGTAAACGTGTTGCGTCACGACTGACATACTTGCTGCACGGAGACTCAGCGCGGCCGCGCAGATGCGTGCTCTGAAAAGAAAACGTTGCAGAGTTGCAGAGCTATGCGATGATTTTGGCCATGAAATAAACTAATGACTCCGAGTTGAATGTGATTTGGGATATATATATATATATAACTGTATATATATATATATGCATATATGTATAATTAATCATCATCATTATTGCAACTAGTACTATTATATAGTACTATTATATAGTAATATTCCATTTATATATATAATATTTAGAATATGTATTTGTATGTAATATATATATATATACATATATGTATGCATGAACTGATCAGAATCGATGGGGCAATCCTCAGACTCTAAATGAAAACAGGGTGCAATTGTGAAGAATGTAAGGGGGCCCAGGGATCCTTCGGCCCAGGGATCCTTCCAAGATCATGCAACTACTTAGTCAATCAATCAGACACTGAAGAATCCGCTTAAATAATGTTTTTTTAAAGTGAGGCTCCCAAACGATAGCTAAGTTGGATCCTAACTCCAATATACTCGAATAACTTTAAGGCTTTTGATACTACATGATACTGATAAGTACAGTTTGTAATGGGCTATATTAAATTATTATAAACCAACTTACAGCTGGGAGGGCAATATTGCGAAAAAGACCCTACTGTAACTGCTAGGTGTTTTCAACGCATTCAGTTTCCCATGCTAGCTGGGATGAAAATCCAAAAATCCCAATCAGTCAATGAATTGTTGTGTGGGCTTGGGCCAGCCAACCTAGGTTGCCAAAAGCCCCCGACTCCTGTTACCGCCGTTGAAATGAATGAATTACAAATGATCAGCAAGGGAAAAGTGATGGCAAACGCCCAGCATTGGCCCATACAGTATGTGCATTGTTTAAATACACACACACATATATATATATATTTATTTATTCGTGTATATATATATATATACACACATATATATATATAGACAGACTTGAAATCCAATTGAAGCTGGGGAATCATAGGCCGACAATCAGTGATTTGCAAGGTAACCAAAGTCAGCCATGCACTTGTGAATTCTCGCCGCAGCCATTTCCAGCACAGCGGTCTCCGAGGGCGCGAACTCTCACATCCCCCTGCTGGGTGCAAAACCCGCCGGCGGGAGGGTCATTTTAAAATGGAGAAAACGAGCAATGGAGTGCCGCGAAGCTCAGCTTGTTGGCCTTCACGACCTTTCCCTCAACTTGGGATGGGCGTTGTTAGTCAACTGAGTACCAACGGGCTATGGTTCATAGCTGAGAAGATATCATTTATGATACGGTATAGAGTATAGACCCAATTTTAGAGTGATACAACCCATTCAATTACTATAGCCTCTCAACAAACTTCAAGGCAGATCTAAGTAGAAATAAGCTTGTGTCATGGTTCAAGTCCCTCCCAACAACTGGTGGGTTAAAAAGATCCCAAAGAAACACATCCACCGCTAAAGCCAAATACCACCGGCTGGTTTAAACAAAAGACAGTACCCGGAAAGGAGATTTGTAAAAAGCCTGGGAATACCACATATGACGTATATACGTATATATATATATATATATATCCCCGAGTAATCCAACATGGCAATTGGAAATCCCCTCTACATGGTGGGTTTAATTGGAAAAAACATCTATTAAATGGTGGATCTTCCATGGCCCAGTTTGATTGCCGGAGGACACTTATATTTTTTATCTATTTTTTGAGGATGGTTTAAACCCACAGTTTCCCATTCCCTTTCACAAACCCAGTGATCATCCATGGTATTTTGACCGGGAAGGGATCCTAAAACATGTGCAACGCACTTCTTTCTCTCGGATTCAAAACGAAAGGTGGGTAGGTCGGGCGAACTGTGGCATAGTTGTGGGTGAATAGTCATCATGTTTTTGTTTCATTCAAAATCGATGGATTATCAATGGGTTGGAATGGACAAATTGCAGGATTTGGTGGTTTCATGTTTTTCTATTTTCCATTTCATATATGGGATGTCATCCTTCCAAAATATTGACGAACTCTAATATTTTTCAAGATGGTTAAAACACACCACCAACCAGCAAACCATAGTAAACCATAGTAAACCATAGTAGACTCACTATTTTTGGATGGATAAAACGCCCCACCAAGCAGTTGCAGGAGCCCAAATTTCGGAACATCCCATGGTTTCCGGGGTGAACTCCCCAATGTTGCCCTGCGGGGCTGCAGGGCGTGGAAGATTTCACCGTTGCCTTGGGCCCAAGATCCCCACTCAGATTGTTTTGTTTTGGAATATAGGGATGGGTCACAACCTATTATTTCCATATTTTTGGGGAGTAACCATCCATTGACCAGCTATGTTGGTGTACTATCCAGGTACCAGGGTTTTGTCTCATAGATGTCATCTGGTTGGTGGTTTTGAACATGTTTTATTTTCCATAATATATGGGATAATCCTTCCCATTTGACTAATATGTTTCAGAGGGGTTGAAACCACCAACCAGTTCATGATGTAGAAATCTGATGAGGTAACCCATGGGACCGATGGGGATGACATAAGAATGTGATGAAACATTTGCTGGTTGGTGGTTTGGAACATTTAGATTATTTTTCCATTCAGTTGGGATTGTCATCATCCCAACTGACGAGCATATTTTTCAGATGGCTTGAAACCACCAACCAGCCATTCATAATTTAAAACCATTATATTATCAATAAACAACATAGTAAATAACAATTAAACATCTTTGTAATAACCAGTATTATATAAACATTATTTACCAGTATTCACCATTTTTAACCACTGACCCGTATTGATGTCTGAAGAACTCCGCAAGGAAAGCAGGAGGCCATGAAGGCGGCCAACGACAAGCTCTTGAAGCACCTTTGTGGCCAGGCGCCTGTCCATCCAAAGATGGGAATATTTTTTGATACAACTGATATTATGGTTGATGATTACCTGGGTTTGTTTAAGGCGTTACCCATTTTCCCAATGGAAAATCCACCATTTGAAAAATCTATAGTGATTTTTTTTTTTGACCCCTTAGGCATGTCTAAGATGGGGATCAGATACTACCCACTTTTCTTGTGGTCTATCACAATCCATTATGGCAGTTTTTTTCAACCGGAAAAATGGCATGACACAGGAAAATTGAACGCTGCCCAAGAGGGTTCACAATCTTACCAAAAACGGCTTGGATAACATGTATCATACAGATGTAAGAGAAAAAAGCAACAGACATCTAGCTAGTCATAGGTGGTGATGACGACCTACATTTATTAATAGCCTGCCAGCGATACAGGTCGATAGTGGCACACCAGTTACGTAACATGTGGCACCACCTTACCACGACGTCATGTTGCATATATGTCATCCAGCTACTTATTAATAGTACTTATATAGAATATATATGTATGCTTGAAAAGAAATCTGGGTGATCCTTGGTATACTGAATACGATATATTAATGATGGGGCTATAATAAAACAACGATACGAAGGGACGAAGGGAGTTTTCTCAAAATGGCCGATGCCGGCCTTTTCTTACGGTAAAATAGAACACGAAACCATGGGATGGACAGGAGTACCCTATCATCCCTAAGATCACTATGGGTAGCAACTATCCTCCCCAAATGGTAGGTTGATGGCATTGTGTTTCTTACACTATACAGGTTACCTCTGTGTAATTCTGTATTTACGCATGGTTTACAGAATGCAAACGCACACATGATGCACACACACGTGTGTGTGTGTGTGTGTTTACGTCTATGTTTCGCATTTCACGCACATCGAAAGAACCAAAAATGCGAGCAACGGTGACTACTCAGAGACGAGCAAACCGGAGAGCACTGTTGACCTAGCTTGGGTTTGAAGTTTGGTTGTAATCTGGGAACCATTTGAGCCCTGGAATGCCCTGGAGCTAGGAAATGGTATGGTCTTGGTTGATGTATATATAGTCTTGGCTGGATAGGAAAACAAGGGAAATCCCCGGAATCGAGTTAGGTAAGTGTATCATCATTTTCAAAGTCTCTATACTTAAACTTAAGGTTGTATCTAACATGGTTGGATGTGTATGGATATGTGGGATCAACATGGATCAACCAACTTCTGTAAAATCATTTGTGAATGACAGTATGTCATCTATAGTCTCGATTTGCCCTCCCATTTTCTATAGGTGGTGTGCCCTTTCATAATATAGATGATGATCCCCGGTGATTGCTCTTTGTTTCCAGTTTTATGCTGTGAATATATATATATATACAACTATACACATATAAATCACAGACAGTGCAACCTGCATTATATCAAATTATGTTCATGATGTTTTATGTTCCGTTTGCTTGTGCTTCAAAGGTCATTTTATTTCAGGTGATTATTATCATTGCCAGTATCATTCTCATTATCATCATCATCATCATCATCATCATCATCATCATCATCATCATATTTTATGTCATATTATTTCAGCTGATTATTACCATTGCCAGTATCATTATCACTATCATTATCATCATCATTCTTATTATTTCTACTATTGTTTTTCCCCACCTGCCAGGTGAGGGTTGTTAGATTTTATGTCAGTTGCCTCCTCCTGCCTCGTCCTCCTCCTCCTCCTCCTCTCCTCCTCTCCTCCTCGTCCTCCTCGTCCTCCTTGTCGTCCTTGTCTCCTCGTCGTCCTCGTCGTCCTCGTCGTCCCGTTTCTCTGCCGGACCTCGTCCACAGTGTTCCCTGCCGGACCTCAACACGACCATCCACGAGTGTCCCTGCCGGACCTCAACCGCGTGTTCCCTGCCGGACCTCAACCACGACCATCCACGCCCAGTGTTCCCTGCCGGACCTCAACCACGACCATCCACGCCCAGTGTTCCCTGCCGGACCTCAACCGCGAGTATCCCGCCAGTGTTCCCTGCCGGACCTCTAAAATGTCCCTATGCCAGAAGATATGCCAGAAGATATGCCAGAAGATATTCCAGAAGATATGCCAGATAGAATGCCCTGCCAGATAGAATGCCAGAAGGTATGCCCAGATAGAATGCCAGAAGATATGCCAGATATAATGCCCTGCCATATCAGAATGCCAGAAGATATGCCAGATAGAATGTCAGATAGAATGCCAGAAGATATGCCAGATAGAATGCCAGAAGATATGCCAGATAGAATGCCATGCCAGAAGATATGCCAGAAGATATGCCAGATAGAATGCCAAATAGAATGTCAGAAGATATGTCAGATAGAATGCCAGAAGATGTGCCAGTAAGAACATGTATAAATGTCATGGTGGGGATCACACGAAGTAAAGTAATTTATTTTTGTCATTGTATTTATTCGACCATTTTTTCCAGAGAATGGTGGGAATCCTCCGCCTCGTTCAGGGTGACTTCCTGCAGAGCAAGAGACGCTGCCTCGTTGTGCATGAGACGTTCTTTTGCCTGGCCAACTGCGCAGGTTGGAGGGAACAGTGCTGGTTGACCTAAATAAATAAATAAATATATATATATTGAAATTATGGCTGAAATAAGGGGAATTCCACAAAATCGACTTTTTCTTTCTTATACTATACAAAATATAAAATGATGGTTGATTTCCATATTTTTGGGGAGTAACCATCCATTGACCAGCTATGTTGGTGTACTATCCAGGTACCAGGGTTTTGTCTCATAGATGTCATCTGGTTGGTGGTTTTGAACATGTTTTATTTTCCATAATATATGGGATAATCCTTCCCATTTGACTAATATGTTTCAGAGGGGTTGAAACCACCAACCAGTTCATGATGTAGAAATCTGATGAGGTAACCCATGGGACCGATGGGGATGACATAAGAATGTGATGAAACATTTGCTGGTTGGTGGTTTGGAACATTTGGATTATTTTTCCATTCAGTTGGGATTGTCATCATCCCAACTGACGAGCATATTTTTCAGATGGCTTGAAACCACCAACCAGCCATTCATAATTTAAAACCATTATATTATCAATAAACAACATAGTAAATAACCATTAAACATCTTTGTAATAACCAGTATTATATAAACATTATTTACCAGTATTCACCATTTTTAACCACTGACCCGTATTGATGTCTGAAGAACTCCGCAAGGAAGCAGGAGGCCATGAAGGCGGCCAACGACAAGCTCTTGAAGCACCTTTGTGGCCAGGCGCCTGTCCATCCAAAGATGGGAATATTTTTTGATACAACTGATATTATGGTTGATGATTACCTGGGTTTGTTTAAGGCGTTACCCATTTTCCCAATGGAAAATCCACCATTTGAAAAATCTATAGTGATTTTTTTTTTTGACCCCTTAGGCATGTCTAAGATGGGGATCAGATACTACCCACTTTTCTTGTGGTCTATCACAATCCATTATGGCAGTTTTTTTCAACCGGAAAAATGGCATGACACAGGAAAATTGAACGCTGCCCAAGAGGGTTCACAATCTTACCAAAAACGGCTTGGATAACATGTATCATACAGATGTAAGAGAAAAAAACAACAGACATCTAGCTAGTCATAGGTGGTGATGACGACCTACATTTATTAATAGCCTGCCAGCGATACAGGTCGATAGTGGCACACCAGTTACGTAACATGTGGCACCACCTTACCACGACGTCATGTTGCATATATGTCATCCAGCTACTTATTAATAGTACTTATATAGAATATATATGTATGCTTGAAAAGAAATCTGGGTGATCCTTGGTATACTGAATACGATATATTAATGATGGGGCTATAATAAAACAACGATACGAAGGGACGAAGGGAGTTTTCTCAAAATGGCCGATGCCGGCCTTTTCTTACGGTAAAATAGAACACGAAACCATGGGATGGACAGGAGTACCCTATCATCCCTAAGATCACTATGGGTAACAACTATCCTCCCCAAATGGTAGGTTGATGGCATTGTGTTTCTTACACTATACAGGTTACCTCTGTGTAATTCTGTATTTACGCATGGTTTACAGAATGCAAACGCACACATGATGCACACACACGTGTGTGTGTGTGTGTTTACGTCTATGTTTCGCATTTCACGCACATCGAAAGAACCAAAAATGCGAGCAACGGTGACTACTCAGAGACGAGCAAACCGGAGAGCACTGTTGACCTAGCTTGGGTTTGAAGTTTGGTTGTAATCTGGGAACCATTTGAGCCCTGGAATGCCCTGGAGCTAGGAAATGGTATGGTCTTGGTTGATGTATATATAGTCTTGGCTGGATAGGAAAACAAGGGAAATCCCCGGAATCGAGTTAGGTAAGTGTATCATCATTTTCAAAGTCTCTATACTTAAACTTAAGGTTGTATCTAACATGGTTGGATGTGTATGGATATGTGGGATCAACATGGAATCAACCAACTTCTGTAAAATCATTTGTGAATGATATGTATGTCATCTATAGTCTCGATTTGCCCTCCCATTTTCTATAGGTGGTGTGCCCTTTCATAATATAGATGATGATCCCCGGTGATTGCTCTTTGTTTCCAGCCATGCTGTGAATAGTATCAAATTATGTCATTATTATCATTGCCAGTTCATTCTCATTTATGTCATATTATTTGGATTATTACATTGCCAGTATCATTATCACTATCATTATCATCATCATTTATATTTCTTTTCCCCACCTGCCAGGTGAGGGTTGTTATTTCCATTCTCCACCGTCCTTGTCGTTTTCCATCCGAATGCCACGCCCATGTTGGGAGTGTTCCTGTCCCTCAACCACGACCATATGCCCAGTGTTCCTGGGTGATATGTTCCCTGCTTGCCATCCACTGCAGAGCAAAAGACGCTGCAAGAGCGCTGCCTCTGTTGTGCATGAGACGTTCTTTTGCCTGGCCAACTGCGCAGGTTGGAGGGAACAGTGCTGGTTGACCTAAATAAATAAATAAATATATATATATATTGAAATTATGGCTGAAATAAGGGGAATTCCACAAAATCGACTTTTTCTTTCTTATACTATACAAAATATAAAATGATGGTTGGGAGTAGGGGAATCATTTTAGATTCGGCCCTGAATCGAGTGGATGGCGGTAAATCAGGTTTAGGGATCATAGTTACACCCAAAGAGATGTTGACTACATCGGAAACCTGAAAATTATGGGCATTATATAATCCATATCGTCCCCATTCGATATATATATATATATATTTTTTTTTTGGGGGGGGGTAGTATAGCATAGTATAGTATTGTAGGGTATAGTCAAGTACTAAGCACCAAAATTTTCACGCTCCAAATAAAGAGATCCAGCAGTGGTTGATGTGTCAGGCAGCAGTGGTTGATGATCTCATTTGAGACATGTTGAGTTCTACGCTGTTGAGACATGTTGATCTTGCTGATTCTGGCCCGAAATGGAGCCGTAATGAGCCATACATCATTCCCCGTTCGAAATAACGAAGGAATAAGGGTATCGCAGGGTGGCCATGTGATATATAGATAGATATATATATATATACATGTGTGTGTGTGTGGGTCAAACTTAGGTGCCCAAACTCGTTGCTGATTTATACTAAACTAAACCCAACAACATTTGCGGTCATTTGCGCCCTACCTTTCAACCCGCAGGTTGCCTGGAGTTCCATGTGCGGCAGCCTGGTTTTCGAATCCGGAACAAATCAAAAAGATGGGGGTTTCCATAAATGGAGATACCCCAAAATAGATGGTTTATTTCATGGAAAAATCTTATTAAAATTGATGATGCAAAGGGGGTACCCCATTTTAGGAAACCTCCATATGTCCATCACTTGAATCACTTGGGTGTGTTTTTTCACATTGCCTGCACCTCTTTGCAGGCCAAGGGGCGAGAGAAGAAGGTGAAGGACGCTTGGGCGGAAATTTTTGAAGAAGAGACTCGTCTTGCAATCTGGGTCAACCTTGGATGGGTAGTTTACCCTTTGGAGAATTAACATAGACCCTGAAAATCACCAACTTTTAATGGAAACTAGTCTTCCAACCCCCATCTGGCAGGGTCTATGTTAATTTACTGGAGGGTAATCCTTTCATTTTTTGATATCTGTCCCTTTGGATCCAGCCGTATCTGAAAGAAAGTGGGACTGGGGTATAATTTTCTTTGATTTGGAGGGTTAGGCGTACCTTCTCAGACAGTGGCCATGGATCCATAGGGTGTTATAAACTATTATAAACTGATGTAGATATGTTATATCTAAAATCCCCCAATCATCAACTGATACCCCCCATGGAATCGTTACATTCCTTGGTTGGTGCCGGCCTTTTCAGGGCGATATATTGACATTTTTTATGTCCAATCATAGGCTGGAATTATGTTATTCTCGGTAAATTATAACGACCTCACTGCGACTGAACCCTGGAATCATGGTTAATAAATTTACTCAGATTAATGGTGATTTTTACCAACAAGGAAAAAGTGTTTGATTTGTTAGCCAGAAAACATGGATTCATTATCATCAACAAACATGTGATATCAGTCATGTTACCCATGGTAATCAAATCAATACCTGGCACGGAATATCCTAAACACATCCACCCAGACATCATATATTTCCCCCCTAAGCTGTCTCGGGGGGTGGCGTTCGTACCCCAGGCGGCCCTTTCTCTAATGATGCACTGCCCAATGATTTCTTCACAGGGAAATCACACGGAAAACTAATTACAGAGAAGCGCGTTTTGTCCCGTGAAAGGTTCTTTTTTGCAGATGATTTACCTCAACGATGTCTGGGGTTGCATTTGGAATCCCAGTTTGGGCGATAGACTGCAGGAAACATTTTTTCCAACACGAAAGCATGGCTCAGCCATGACATGACGGTGGAAAACCCAGCATTGATACATCATTTTTCTTGGGGAAGCCACAGGTTTTCCACATCTTTTTGTATGTTTACCCCAGGGATCCCCAGGGTATATCCATAGCTCAACCAGCTCATTTTTTTTCCCGAGGACCACACCTTCGGCACCGCGCAGGCCTCGACCTGGTCCGACCTGGCCGGAGATAGACTGAATGATTTTGGGAACAGACTGATCATTGAATCATGACTGATCCGACTGATCCCATCATGCCATCCCCCCAATATTCAGTACATTTCAGTAGCCTCCAAATATATCCCAAATATATCCCAAATATATCCCAAATATTCATTGATTCATCCCGTACTAAATCAAGAGTTTTTTTGGGGAGGTCTTTGATTTTGTTCGAAGCGACGGGAAGGGATGACCAGCAAGAATTCCCATTTACTTCGATGATTTGCCCATCAAAAAACAGAACATGTGCAGCGGACTTTCCATTGCCATGGTTGATGAAATTTGATTAATACTGAACGGCAATAGTTTGTCTCACCAATATTTCATGATGCTTCATGGTGCTGTCGTATCCCTACATGATTACATAAGTGTGTCATGTGTTTGGCTAAAGGTAGGTAAAGTAGGTAAACACACCCTTCACTACATATATGATATATATATAATATATATATAATATATATATATATATATAATTAATATATATATATATATAATAGATCGATCGATCGATCGATCGATCGATAGATTGATTGATTGATTGATAGATAGATAGATAGATTAGATAGGTAGACTAGATAGGTAGGTTAGATTAGCTTAGATTAGATTAGATTAGATAAGATAGATGGATCGATCGATCGATAGATAGATAGATAGAGCACACGTGCTAGTATTTTGTGCCAATTATGTATTGTATGTGCTTGACATGTTTTTAAAGCCCATATAGTGCAGACTTGGTCAAGGGTGACGTAGGGTGACACCCAGTAAGATCACTTTTTTTTTGTTTGTTGGCCGGATCCGCACCGCCAAAAAATGTGGTTGAAAGGCATGTTTGTATTCAATGCATACAAAGGTAACGCGCGTGGGTTTCGGATGTAATGTCAGAAAACTAAAACTCTCCAGTTTGATTTTTCTGTCACACTTTACGTTGGTTCAACAAATTCAATCCATGTTCTCACGACTTAAATTCTCAATCTCGTCAGTCAAATCACCATGTCGTGAGTACAAATTCTATGACGCTTTTTAAAAAGAATCACTTTTGGATATAAAATCTGCATTTTATGGATCACATCCCCATTCTTATTGTTTTGTTTTGGAATATAGGGATGGGTCACAACCTATTATTTCCAGATTTTGGGGGAATAACCATCCATTGACCAACTATTTTGGTGTACTATCCAGGTACCAGGGTTTTGTCTCATAGATGTCATCTGGTTGGTGGTTTCAAACATTTTTTATTTTCCATCATATATATGGGATAATCCTTCCGATTGACTTTCATATTTTTCAAGATGGTTGAAACATGTTGAAACCACCAACCAGTCATTCATTCATTCATTGAATTGCATTTTTCATGTGCAAAAAAACACGTTTTTGGCGAATCTCGGTCGTCTCCCTCTTGGTGCTGAAGGTGATGTGGACCATTTTTGCCCATGGATTTGTTCTGCACCATTTCATGGATCCACTGGGATTTCATGTTTGCCAACAAGCAGCGAAATGAGGGTAACTATACATACATATATATATATATACATATGTACATATACATATATATATATATTCCATACATGGAGCTGACATGAGTATCGTTACTTCTCTGGAACCCAGGACTGTGCACCTCCATGTCAGGACTGTGCAGGTCTTGGGGTTCTCGTCCATGCGGTGGCCAACCAGCAGCACGTGCTCACGGAGAAGTGTCTTGGCGACGAGGCCCATCAACCTGGTAGGTCCATGGCGGTTTACCACATAAACATCGGCTTGGCTCTTTGGGATTTTGGGCGGTCCTTGGTTTCGGACTTTGTTTCGGTGCGGAAAATTCATGAGTCCCAGGAGGTCCATGCCATCGGAGGGCGTCGACATTGCGACATTGCGATCAGGAGGTGTTCCGGGAGGTGCCATGAAGTACCCCAAATCCTGAAATGAGACCGTTTTACTATTGAAACATATTGAAACTTCCATGATTTTGGGGATCCACTATTTTCAGAAACCCCCATGTTTCTGGTATTTAAGATTATTTGGGTGTGTAGCTGGCAAATATTCTGAACAAGTCTGAAGATCTAGTTGTTTTTCTGTGTTTCCTACATGCCACAAGGACAACAAGCACCAGGGTACAAGTTGGTCCATACCCGCCATACCCTCCACCTATATACTTACAGAATACTATAGAAACCCAAAAGGGATAGAAAAGACATTCCTCACTACCCTAGAGGGATTTCACTTTCTATCTTTTTGAGGTTGCTCTATATGTATTCAACACAAATCACATATAATTCGCCTTGCTATGCACCAGCAAAATTCCTATCGAATTTGCTGAGGTTTTACTTCCAAGCCGCGGACTTCTTGTGGAAGGTCCTGTCCGATGCAGGCGAACTGCCCGAGGCTGTGAAACAGCTGGAGGGCAAGGAGCCGGCTGGGAGTCAAGGCGCAAATGTTGGGAGAGTAGGAGGATTAAACATATTTGGTTTCACAAGACAGGGTATGTGATAATCTCAAATTCAGATTTAAGAGGTAGAACATCCACCATATGACATATCATCCCAAGGGGCAGATGTAGGAGCTCAAGCGTTTGGCATGACCGCAACGTTATTTTACAGAGATGGGTTGCAACCTAACTTGTCAATTGTGAAACTTGAAACTTGGGGGGTTCGATTGTTTTGTTGAATAGTTTTGTGCCTTTCTGAGGTGCAAAGTGAGCCACTTGGACGATGCTGGAACTTAGATTTGATGGTTAGTAAGTGGGTTATAACTCCGCAAAGAACGCTTTTACTATTTTTTACTTGGGTTTGATGGGACTGGAGACATCCATTCATGTCATTTATATACTCAGTTTTTTCAATTTTGTTCACTGGAAAATTGGGGCCACATATGTGATCACTTTAACTATACCTTGTTACACTTTAAGTATATATACTTTGTTTGCCTAAAGTGTGCGGCTTTGTTTTGGGACCCCCATTAGTTTCACCATGTTTCACCCTGTAACCCAACGACTGCCGTGGAGGAGCTAAAGGAGGAAAAGTGCATTCGCCTCTGCGGCTCTGGTGCATTTGGCGCCACTACTGAGATCAGTCCTACAGTTCTAGGGCTAAAGTTCTACAGGGGGCTGCTACTATAGCTGATACGTTGAAGATATCAAAGTTGCACAGGGTTTAGCTGGTTCGACCTTTTCACAGTGATAATCATTGATTTGTTAATCATTAGTAAATCATATGAAATCAGACGTGGTATTCGTATGACATCAAGAATTTCCCCTGTTCGTCAGGGAAATCTCCCAGGGCACCCCGGGCACATCCGGGCACCGAGGCGAGCTGCTGGACGTCATCGCCGCCAGTGCCGGCGTCAGGTCCTACCACCGGGCCATGGGACTTCCCATGCCGCAGCTGCCGCAGCTGCCGCCGGAGGATCAGACGCTGGGACTCATGAGACTGAACGCCGGGCGGAGATGAGCAAAAATGATATGAGTTGAACTGGTTGGTGGTGACTGGAACATTTATGACTTTCCATACATGTCCATAAGATTAATGGAATTTCATGATCCCAACTGACTCATATTTTTCAGAGGGGTAGGGTAGGGTTGAAACCACCAACCAGTTAAGGATGGTTTGGGGTGATTTCGGAGGAGCTTGTTGTGATTTGTTGATGATTTGGGACGATCTGGCTTCATTATCTGGGATGATTTCGCTTTTCGGATGATGTGGGATGGGTGCAAGGGTAAGCCTCTATCGTTAAGTTTTAACCCGTAGAGTCATAGAGTGAGGTTTAGAATTGCCAGATAAACGTAGCCCTCGGAAATCACAAGAAACATCATGATTTCACAAGACACCAATTTCTGAACTGATAATATATATATATATATGATTAAATTTCAATGGTAATAGATTTAAAGTCATGTTTATCTCGTGATTCATGATTGTATTATGTTGATTATACTATGTTAGTTTATTGCCCTCTAGTATAAATGTATATCTTTCAGCATATCAGTCCCCAAAAAAGACCTAAACAATCAAATCCTCTTGGCATTGATGCATCACTTCTCTATTCTTTTGGTGGTTATTTATTACATCTATAGATCATACCCTCTGGTAAATTAACATAGACCCTGGCAGTCATCGGGGTTGGAAGATTAGTTTCCATTAAAACTAGGCTATTTTCATCTATTTTCAGGGTCCAACTGTTAATTTACCAGTATAGATTATTTCCCATTCATAGTGAGTTTTCCCATTAAACATGGTGATTTTCCTGTCAATTTACCAGGGGGTACGTCAAAAAGCACCCGAAGCACCCGCTGCGCAGGGCGCCACTCTTCAGTCGCGTCACCGAGATTTGTTCCAGCGGCCTGCGGTGGGATCCGGCCATTGCCTGGGCACCGCGTAGCTGGGCGAAGTCGAGGCGTCGTGGAAATGGAATGATTTCGTGGTGTTTTCATGGTGATTTAATGGGATGTTGACGTGAACACGGTGATTTCATGGTGATCTTTTTGTGGACCTACCGGATTTAGCTTAAAAAAAACACTTTGATTTAATTTGATTTAATGGTGATTTACCTGATTTAAACGAAGACACATGGTGAAGTGGTTGATGTCATGGGATTTAACCAACAAAATTCAGCATGAAATAAAGGACCGTAAGCGGGCTTCATGGGATTTAGTCATCAGCGTAACCCCCAAATAAGAATTTGACTCTGAGAATCACCGCTGTAAACAGAGGCGGGGTCTAGTTTTCCAAGCCATACATGGTCTATGTTAACTTGGGGGGTGTTTTTTTTAGCTATTGGGTTCTGTGGAAACATGGTGATATAACCAGCAACAATGGAGATCTGAATGATAATGGTCATTGGACCGGTGGAAATGAATCGAATCGAACTTGCTCAAGCTACATGATTTAGTTTCCCGTAGTTGAAAGCGATTGAAAGCGCATAGTCATCTCTCCAGGACAAAACATTGATTTTGCTAGCTGCTATTTAGAATAGTGTGACAAATCTCATTCATGATGGTGTGAGGACTTTACCTCATACACAATGTTTTTTCGGTGGCAAAAAATGTGCGATTTCACCAACATGTGGGGGAGACTGGGCCTCTGTAGGATTCACACTGCCATAAACCATCACCAGTTCTCACCCTGGTGTATGCCCAAAATGTGGGAAACCCAATCATAAACCTATCCTTTCGGGATGGTTTATAGCATCCATTTACTGTATGGTAATTTTTGGGATGGTTCATTATTAGGTCTACCACATTAGTAAAAAATCGTCACAACATGGGATGAGTTTCCGTCATCAACGCATCATTTTACTGTACCATTTGCTGTGTTTTTACTTGTTAAAAGTATAACTGGTTGGTGGTTTGGAACATGAATTTGATTTCTCCATATATTGGAATTTCATCATCCCACCAACCAGATAAAAGTTAAAGGTAGTCGTTACCTGAACAGGTTGCGACAGGTCCAGGTCAAGCTACACTTTCCAGCTGATTCACTGGGGATGACCTACCGTTGGAGCTTGGTGCAGCCAGGGGATTCGGCCGATGTTTTTTTCCACAACTTTGTCCATGAAAGTTTGTTTGTCAAGAAAGAAACCGCACTTAGACTTTAAAGACTTCGAACTGAGATGAACTAAGTTCAAGTCGAAGTGAAAACTTAGACTATAGAACTCAGATGATCAAATGAACTAAGTCTAACTAAGTGTATAAGTTGTTCACTCATCCCGGCTGCCGCTCCGTGCTCCAATCATGGCCCCTTAGGCATGCAGGGCAAAGATGTGAACCTGAAGGTCTACAAGAAGCCGCTGGGATCAGGGGTCTAAAATCCATCATCATGTGGATATGGGTATGGGTAAATACCTATAGATACATTTTTAGTGGGATGATCATCCATTTACCAGCTATGTTGGGGTTCACTAGGTACCAGGGTTTTGACCCATCCCCATATAATGATCCCACTGATCCCACCCCCTAATATTAAATGATTAAACACCTCCTAAATGGTCCCCAATACGCGGATTCATCCCCCTCCTAAACCATATTCCTTCTATATACTGGGTGATGAATGTTAGGGAGGAATGAAGAACGAACCACTGCTGTAGATAATGAATGTGGATGGGGCATTAGTGATATAATGTGTTTCGGGGGATAATACTGTTATACTGACAATATCTAACAATACAAAAAACAAATGGGTACACATGGGGATATACTTTTGATACAATCATGTGGATACTCATGGGAAAACAGCCGACCCTATGATATCTTTGGATATCCTTGAATGGTTTTTGCACCTTTCATTTCATATTCTTCCATACATGGGAGGGAAACCGGACTCATGGACCTGCCTCTAATCCAGGGAAATCATGGTGAATGACAACTGGATGGAATGGTGTACCCTGTTTTCAGACTATAGAACATGGAAAACCAAGGGAAACCCCCAGAAAAAGAGATGTAAATGGTGGATCTTCTCTATATATATATATATACGTTGGTTTATAGGGGGTAGTCCACAGGGACAGAAACAGGTCATCTTCACCCAACTTGCGGCAAGGTAGGATGGTCAAATATGGTCAATAGCCATGGGAAAGGTCAGTTCGACCAACAAAACGCCGAAATATCCATCGTTGGTTTTGATAATTTTCATTGACACAATTGGTATTTAAATATAATGATATATATATATATATCATTATATATCATTATATTTATATATGGTTGTCCTGGAGCAGATTATATAGATAGAATACAAATAATTACAAACATCTTCACAAAAGTGAGAATATCATTGAACAATTCCATATTCTATCTGTATTCAGGGTGAATAATTATATATGTGGTATTTACATGTATTTACATGGGGGGGGGTTCCCAAATCAAATAGGGGCACCTCCAAATCAGTCATTTTCATATATTTTCATAGGATGTTCCATGGCATAAACCATCCAGCTATTGGGGTACCACCAATTTTTGGAAACCTCCAGATGGAGCTGACACACCACATCTCAGATCGGATCGCAGCGGTGAAGCGAGTCGCGGAACTCAGGTTGGGCATGGAACGGAGCCCGGTGATCGCGGGGATGAGCTCCCCAGAGAATCCCAACAGCAAGTGGGTGCCTTGTCGAAAAAATGCTGGGTTTCGCTAAGGTTTCTGTTGTGAAAAAAGGGGAACATGTTACAGGAAAGCCCCATGATCTTCGGGAAAATCTATGGTTTCCGGTAAAGATTTTCCCTATCCCTATGGATCCAGTCGTACCTTCTGAAAGGAAGTGGGACTGGGGTACAATTTACTATGATTTGGAGGGTTAGCCGTACCTTCTCGGACAGTGTCTGGATCCATAGGGATTATGATAATTGGTGATATTAGCAGCGCTAGTAGATACTATAGTAGTATATTTATGGATACTTGGGATTTAAAGTCAGCCATAGGATACAACCGCAATATTAGTCGATTCATCCAGGCATCCAACGTGCCTGGCTGGGAAATCCCTGGCAAAGGGTGGGTTCTCCAGGGTAACAGCCACCATGTTTAGCGTGTTGTGTCTAGCATTTGCTAGGATAAACTATGAGTGCTCCATATCTATCCTAGAAAGTCTTAATGATTCATCTTACCCACCACGGGATTGATAGTCCACAAGTAACCAAGGTAAAACATGAGCTATTGGGAGTTCCTGGGGTAAATGTGAGTTTCTTTGGAAGCATCTGTGATTGGGGGGAGGTCACAGTTGCGATGGGTTCGAGCCATCTCGAGCTCATCTTGATTCCGCAAAAATAGGGATTGAATCCCAAGTTTTTTTTGGTCCATGAACAAAATGCAGCCGCTGATTTTGCATCCTACGTGGGATATCGTGGGATGACATTTCCATTTTGTATTATAACACGCTTTCAGCAGCCACAGACTACTTGTTTCCTATCTTGTGTTCTTCGATCTTACCCATAGGATCCATGTATGGTATATATGCTATCATTTGGGGTATATTGATTGTAAATGTTACCATATATAGCATACATGGATCCTATGGGTTATGTGCTGGGTTTCGAAGTTCTTACCGCAAATCATGGGGAGACCAAACCGATCCAACACTTGGAGGCCAGGACACCCAGTGAATCGATCAGATTTTCCCTAAGGAAGGAGCATTGACGACGGCGTACCACTGGTCGCTTGGGTTTTTCCCAGTTTTTCCCGATGGTTTCATGGAAAATTCCGAGAGTAAAATGGATGACTGGTGAGTTTATGGGTACCCCCGGTGACTTATAGGAAACTTCGGAAACCCTCCGTTGATTCCGTTGATGATCTTGGAAGGTCCTGACTAGATCTGGTGATTTTCCCAGTTCAAGGTCTCACTGTGAAGTGGAGTTTCTCAGTTGTGGAGATGTTCAGGGTAACCTTCAGGAAAACCGATGTCAATTGCTTGTTTCAAATCGATGTCAATTGTGTTTTGATGTGGATTTTTCATGATTTTGGATGATTTTGTGGGCGAATTTGATATCTTTTTCAAGGTCGCCTTAGGGCTTCCCGAAACATCGCCAGGTTCCATTGGACCTCCGTGGCATATCCCCCGCAGCACGGCGATGGTGGAAATCCACGGAAATCCACCATTTACAGATCATATTCCTACAGGATGGGCCCCCCCCAGTTATGTCTGTTGGTTTATAACCCAGCCTAAATATAGTTATTTGCGTATCATACACCAACTTGTTATTATAGTTATGTTCACCAACTTAGCTAACGAACTGGGGCCCCATCCTGTAGGGTTTCACTTTCACCATGGCTTTTCCACACCTCGGCATTTTCTTGTATGTTTGGTTCAGGGAGAGAAGAAACAACATGAACACACTTGATTTTTCATCCTATCGGGATACCCATCATGGGATCATGATGAGCATGATACGAGAATCATGATTGGGATGTATAATGATGTATAGTACGCATAAAATGATCATCCAATACTTGAGGGATTATTTTTTTTTGCCACTGTATTTTACCAAGATGGGGATACACAGAGGATTTTGTCGACCAAGCATTGTTCCCAGCAAGATGGACTCTTTCTGGAGCGAAAATCCTGACAGGGCATCCAAGTTTAGACCGTTTTTTTTATTATTACCATTAATTGTATACATATTATATTATTTTTATTTATTTATTTATGTATTTATTTATTCGCTTTTATTTCTTTATTTATTCATTTAGATATAGTGATTCAAAGAAAAACACAAACAGCAACGCCAAAATTATATCTACCCTTCGGTAATCAAACTAGCCGTTTGTGGTTAGTGTTCCCAAATTCCGGAGGCAACCTACTCAGCCTGGTCAAAGTTGATTGGTATATATATATATATATGGTACCCCCCCCAAAAAAAAACCGACATTTTCAAGATTGTAACGCTTTTGGGATAGTTACCTTGTTCAGTTTGAGATCCAGTGGGGCAGTATCATACATATATATGCATATATATATATACACATATGTATATTATTTGTTATCTTACTATTACTAAATCCATGTACTTAGAGTATTTTTTACAAGAAGTATTTGCAAACGTTTGCAAACGCTTGCAAACGTTCCTGATCAGGATTCAAGATTCAAGATTCAAGATTCCCAGAAAAACTTCTTGAATCCAAGGGGATAGGATTCAAGATTCAAGATTCAAGATTCCCAGAAAAACTTCTTGAATCCAAGGGGATAGGATTCAAGATTCAAGATTCAAGATTTCCAGAAAAACTTCTTGAATCCCAGGATTCAAGATTCAAGATTCCCAGAAAGAATTCTTGAATCCAAGGGGATAGGTCTTGAATCTTGAATCCTGGGATTCAAGAAGTTTTTCTGGGAATCTTGAATCTTGAATCTTGAATCCTGGGATTCAAGAATTCTTTCTGGGCATCTTGAATCTTGAATCTTGAATCCTATCCCCTTGGATTCAAGAATTCTTTCTGGGAATCTTGAATCTTGAATCTTTTTAAGTACTTGGGTCCCTGGACTTGTTTGCAAACGTTTGCAAACGCTTTTGGTGACAAAATTGCTCTAAGTACCTGGGTTCAACAGTAAGACAACAATTAATATATACGTATATATACATATATATTGTACATGAGTTAAATAATGAGTTTGAAGTGGAATTTCATCAGGTAATGGCATTTGTTGAAACAGTTTATCTGCAATTACAATATTACAACTCAAAGCACATTGACAAATAATCACTTGCAGATGTTGATTCTCTTGTCCATATATCAAAAATATTGTTATATGAAAAATATCTTTACATATATTGTTAAATAGTTGAGTTACTAAACTGTCTGCAAGGTTATATGTTTTATATTTTATTAGGTAAGATATAAACTCAATTTCATCTTGTAATGTTTGTTTTAAGACATTCATATATATATATATTTTTGCATCATTAATATCAATTGTTTTTGGTAAAGAGATTTGTGAATTCTTGAGTAATTCATGTGCTATCATTCCATAAAAAGGTGCACAGTATTTTGAAGCCCTTTATAATATTTTTGACAGTGCATGATATTTTAGATGTTGCATATGTTGCATGCAAATATACATAAAATAGGAATGTCTACTTATTTGATTTGGTGATGTAGCAATCGCATCTATATAAGAAAAATGCTTTAGTGCAATATTATATACTTTTAATTTTACAAGTGCTATAAATCCTGCCAAGTTATGTATTTTTATATATTGTCAATATATGTTATATTTTTGCTAGCTTGATTAAGTAATTTGTAGGCAAGAGTGTATTTTTTAAATACTAATAGTTCCCTTGCATAGCATATTCTTAAGTCAGTACAATTTTATTGTCTCTTGAAAAGATGGGTTTAATATAGGAGCTAAATTTTGTTCTATTCTATATGGGTTTAGACGTATATAGATCTTTTCTGGAAAATAAATAATCAAAAATTAATCCTTAATTATATTGATGCTTATTATAATGTTATGATACATGTTTGTGCTTTGAGTATGATTTTGCTTTATTAAAATGCGACATTGCACTATCCTTTTATCCATATCTTTTAAACAACTGAAGAAATAAGAACTATTAAAATTTAATTGGTTTTGTAGTAATAGATTGTCGAGTTTAATTAAGTGATTTTTATAAGATATATATCTAGATATATATTTTCTTGCTAGCGTTTAAAGCAGTTTTGCCAATCATTTTTAATCCAACTATTTATAGCAAGAGCTTTATTTATTTTTATTTTTTGGTAGATTGTAAAAATTGTGTGTATGTAATTAAAACAATAAGCAAGTAGAAAAAAAAACATACAAAAATAGCATGTTTTAGATATTTTGGCACAATTTGAATCACCAGTTTTTTTTCCATCTGTTTCTAGTTCTTCTTCAGAGAATATGGATATATTTATTAGTGGCTCAAAAAATGAAATAACTATGGTGGAAGGATGTGGAATGGAATTTCCAGAAGACAGATTATTAAATATCTTAGATGAGGCTTTAAAGCTTTTTACTCCAGTTCTAAACTTGATATTAGATATGAAATCTAAAATATCAAAAATAGAGTTTATTTCCAATATTCCTCTAGATTCTCATGTTGCTCAACGTAATTGTCAGAAGAAATCGAAAATCACTCCAGTATACTTATTTTAAAAAGCACGCTATTTACTCAGTCTTCAAAACAAGAAAGAGAAAAACGTCGGTTTTGGGGGGGGGGCTAGCATATATATATATATATGTGATTTAAAAAGCTTGGTTGGTCGAATATCTATATACATATATATATATATATAAATATGCAATGATTGAGATCTGATGTATGAATCAATCAATGATATCCCTCATTTATAGATGATTTTCCCATTAAAACCTTCATTCACCACGGGATATTGTCCAGCTAGCGACATCATGCTTGATGGGATACTCACACTTAAATTTTAGACTCATTGCCAGAAGGGTTTATTTTATGCCATTGTTTATGCCCTCTGGTTATTTAACATAGTCATGGAAAATCACATTTTTTAATAGGTAAACCATCTATAAATGGGCCATTTTCCGTGGCTATGTTAAATAACCAGAGGGTAACATGTTGATACCAAGGGAAGGTGTTACAATTAATTTGCAAAAAAAAACGCTAATCAATGACAGTATGTTTTTCTCAATGGCAGGTGAAGCGGCCAAACACTACCAAGATATCATATCGATGCAAAGATGAAACCCCAACATTCCTCGATTGGAAAAAACAATCTCGAAAGACCTTCGAAGATTGAACTGGTTCCTGCTTCCATATGCTTTCACTTTTAAAGGTGTTCCACCACATTTGTGTTTCAGGGTGATTCAATACAGCTGGTATTTTCCAGTGTTTTTTCCACCAGGAAACCACTGGATTGAGATCTTCGCGCTTCGCCCAGGAATTTCGCCCTTTTTCAGTTGAAACCCTTCGTGGGTTCCAAGATCAGCCGTGCTGCCGCTCAAACCCCACCTGGGACGATGGCAGGTTACCAGAAGCCACCTCCTTAGAAGATGATTTAGATGCGTAGTAATACCAAATAAATCCATGGTTAGGATTTATTTGGTATATTGATTATAGGACATTATAAGGGTTGTCTATATTTATATGTCCATCATTAGAACGATCTAATCAACATGACTAGATATGACTATCGATACGATGGTTCGCCAGAGTTAGAGCTGTGCGGGGTGTAAGGTATGTGTGTGTATATATATATATGTATAATGCCATTTTATGATATCTATGGTGGGTACAAGCATGGTTCTGGGTGAATTTGGTGACATCACTCGCAACCTCACTGTAAATGGTCGGGACCCTTGGGGACCCTTGGAAAATGGTCTTACTTCAGGTTGGGGAGTCAGAAATGATTCAGCGGCCGGTGGTGCTTCAGGCTGCAACCATCCCAACAAAGTACGTCAGTACGTGGCAAAAGTGGTGGAAGTTACACCCAACAACCCAACTTGGTAGTTTTGTCGGGTCCAAAGGGTAAATGCAGGTGATCACTTTCTAAGTGCTATCTGGGCTCGGCAACCAAAGTTTTGTTTAAAACTGGCTGGTTGGTGATTTTTTTGCTTTGACTGAAGCTGGAGGGACCGTTGATGTTCCACTCTTGTTTTTTGGTAGTAGCCACTCTTACTCTTGAAAAAACTATGGGTCAAAACTGTGTAGTGAAAACCATCAAAAAGATACAGCAAGATGTTTGGTAGTCCGTGTCGGATAATTTTGGCCTGTGCTAACTGGGATGGTATTGTGAGTGTAGCTCTTTAAGAGCTTTCAACCTACCAGAAGGGCCTTCTTCAATAGATATTGTTTCACATATTATGAATCAAGCCTTCAAAGTGGAGGGTATCATGTTTCCATGTTATTTTTTTCTGTTGTGTGTGCGTGTTATTGTTCTATTTCACACAGATATGTGTGTATATGTCAAACACGTGAGGGTGGAGATGAATTTCTCTAGGATAGCTTTGTTTTTGACTTGATTTGCTGATGTTAGATGAGATATGACATGCTTACAACGATAAACAAGTAGGTATTCGTAGATAGGTAGATTCATAGATGCATACATTGCATATGCAGACATGAGTCTGACCTTTGCTTGACCTGGGCTTTCTGCAGCGCTGGGTAAACTAGGATAAGCCTGCTGGATTCCAAACCAGCCCAAACATGTGCTCGTCATCAACGAAATTGTGGGGACTTTGGAACAACACTTACGACTCAGGAATTTCAGTCGTTTGATTTCTTTAAAGAGCTGGAGATGTCCAAAACACGCCGATGCTATGCGTTTTTTGTTGGAAAAGGAAGGAGACGATTTAACTCTCTCTCTCTCTATATATATATATATATACATATGTAGCATGGGCCCAAAAATGTGACTTTTGGATACACCCTATAACTGAGATAGAATCTGGGTAGTTTGCGACAAGGGTTGTATCACAGTAAAGGGGATCTCCTCCACTCAGGGGACTCTCCCCTTTCGGACTGGTTTACACATCCCATTTGTGGCCCCCGGGGTTGGCAAGAACATTTTTTCTAAGGACATGGAGAGCATTGCGTCAGCCTACACTACTGGAATTCATTGTGTTTTCTGACGGGACGGCCATATCATGATGAGAGATACTGCTTTGCTGTTTGGAGATCGGCTACACCGTGATGTGCAACTGATGGTGGAACTGGGTTGCTTTGCTACGCATCTTCTCGCATTTGTCTTTGCGTTCCGGGTTGGCCGGGGTTGGATTTTTTTGGGGTAAATGCGATGCAAACGATTCGAGTTGAATTTCCTGCTGTTTCATGGAGTTTGCTGCTTCTTCTTCGGGGTAGATCATCACGGAGATGTATCAGGTCAAGACGTATGCCTCCGCTTTTTGACAATTTGCTATACCTCTTTCGCCAGCTAGTAGGTGGGGAATCATATGTCCCTGCTGCAAATAAGTTTTTTTTTAAAAAAAAATAATCATAATATATATATATATATATATATGTGTGTGTGTTGTTTGTGAAATATATGAATATATATATATATATATGCATATTATCAATCAAACTGCATATTATATTATGTTATATTTTTGAATACATATGTATGCATATATCCCTGCTTACCTTTGAGTTTCCAACCATTCCGGTGGCGACTCCTTTTCCGTTGCGGTTCCTCAGGTTTTGCCATGGCAGATGAACGTTTGCCCGCCGAGCCAGGGTTAGCAAGCCCCCAGAAGCGCATTGACAGATGCTGAGCAGAAGATGTGAGGAGATTTCAAGGTTAACAGTGGGGTTTGCATTTTGCAGGCCATGTTTGTTGCCACAAATGGAAGTACTTTTTCAGAGATTTTTGAGCGTGTTTTTTTTTCAAATAATAATGAGCTACTTGTTTTTTTTGGCTATAGATGAACTAGACAACTAGACATACCAGCCAAATCGTTGTGTTTTTGTTGATGCAGAATCTCCAACGATTCTCGGAAAAGCCAAGGATGCATCCAGGCTTTGAAAGATGCCGCGGGGGAAGAGGTCTTGGCCAATGCTGCGGGCATCGTGGCCATGTTCACAGCCATGACCATGGTGGTGGATGCCCCTTTGCGCGGCATGGATGGCTTGGAAGTCCCCATACAAAATGGAGGTTGTTATGGAACAAACATAGGAAACATATGGGTAAATCTGGGAAAATCATAGGAACATGCACTATAAATGGAGACCTTGAAGAAGCAACATCATGTGTGAATACGGAAAATTATGTTGCCATGTTTAGTTATTGGTTGCCAGAGGGTCGAAGCGAACATTGATTCCAATGGGGTGGAGCCGGTAAAGTCGGTAGAGTGACTTTGGTGCATCAACCACCAGGGTCTTGGGACGCTGCTGTTTGTGGTTGGCAAGTGACATTTCCGTATGCTAAGATTGCTACAATGTGATGCCCCCCAGTTACAAGTTGGTTTATAAACCCCATTAACTAGTTCGTTATATCTACCATAAACCATAGTGAAATTGGAGCTATTACCCAACTTAGCTATCGTTTGGGGGCCCCACTTTGTAAGATTCTTATCCATCGCCAAATGCTCCTTTCTGACAGTGAGCAGAGTGGAATTTGGCTGGTGGCTTTGATGATGTTTGATGTGGGTCTTCGTGCTGCACAGCTGGTTGCACGAAGAATTTTTTTTAGGAGGTACAATGTGATTATGCGAAGCCAGCTACAAACCATTCGGAGATCATTTTGCATCATTTTACACCATCCCAGTTCAAGAGGCCGCCTGCGGATTTTTTCAAAGCTTTATTTTTTAGGTCACTTTGTCTGACGTTGCTTTTACTTGGGTAATTACATGTAATTACTCAAGTAAAAAGAACGTGGATTAGTCCAATTTTAAATTGGACACAAAAGCACTTACTAACTGAACCAGGTCCCTGATGAATGGTGTTAGGTCTGCCCTTCCCGGCATCCGGGGCACAAAGATGATCCTTCAGATTGGTGCGATTGGTGCCAGCTGGTGAACTATGACAACTTCGTCCATTTTATCATATGAAAAAACGATGACATTGGATGACATTGGATGATATGCGATTACCTGGATTGATATAAATGGTACAATCTTCTCCTTCCTTTCAACGGATCCTTTCTTGTCATTCTTTTGACACTTTCGCACTCTCCAGTGTTCAAAAAATCATCGAGGCGACCGGGCAGACATCTAAAGAAATGCCGACCATTCAGAAGTACGCCAGCAAGTTCCTGCGCTGGATGCTCATCTTGTTGGCTGTTTGGTCAAGACATGGGTGAATTTCCATCAGGGATGGTCTTGCCCAAAAACTCAGGGTTCATCTGCCCTGAGAAAAAGGATTTCCAATCATGGGATGGACGAGTCCGCTACCATCTTTGTCTCATCACCGACAAAGAACAGGGTATTATGTGACCGTCATGTCGGATGGTGTGAGAAGTGTCTAAACCATGCGAATAACCCAACGGATCAGAAAGAGGTGCTGCAATCTTGGTGGAATGTTGCTTTGCGTGGCTCAATGCATGCTCAATGCTTCCCTCCGATCATCAAACATGGCAGTGAACAATTCCCCATTGATAGCTGATTTGCCCAGCTATAAACCTCCATGTATAATGATTATAACGGATTATATATATATATAATATGTACATATACATATTGTTGTCCCGATTTTTCCGATACTTCCCCATGATTGTCCCATGATGTTCCTATATGATTAGTTCCTGGATTTCCGAGCCATGTTTGATCACCAGAAGGTAGCCGTGTGAGATCGTGTGAGCGAATTTGTAGCTAGGGAAGGTGTGCCAGGGTCTAAGTTCAGACATGGGCATGGGGTATAGCACTTGGCTCTTATAGCTGCACACTAATCCCATGTTTTGTTGTGTTTTTCCATGATTTGGTACCCAGAGTTGGAATTTGGTTGGAAATCTCCGTGCATGGTGAAATTTGAGAGAAACCTGGCGGACGTCAGGAAGAGGAACCTGGCGGCGTTCTGTCCTTGTCTGGGCGGATAACCGCGTTCGGAGGCGCGTTTTTATTGGAATCTTCTCGGTCATTGGTCATGGCAGTCATGGGTGTTTTTCTTGACCATTTAAGTATCAGACTATGACTATTGGAGGAGTACCACCCCTTTATTCACAAACCATGGTTTATTAAATTCTATTAATCCAGGGTTGACATTAGCAAATGGAGGTTCCTACTTGTTTCAGCATCCCCTGAAATCCAATATATAGAGGCCGACCCGACTTTCTATTTCTGGGTTGAATGAATATCCGGCTGGTACGTATGGGTCAAAAATCATAGGCCTCAAAAAAACGGATGGCTTTAGACTTGCAAAGATGGAACTCTTCAATTTAAATGCCCTCACAAGTTATCTTCTAGTTTGTGAAAAGTTGTCCAATCCTGTCTTCCTCGCAAGTGGAATTCGGTGGAATGTACTGTCACTGTATACAGGTCCCGTCGCGGAGGGGTTATAATTGGGAGGATGGATTTGCTTAGCCCAGATGGCTGTTTGTCGAGGAGGAGCTAGTTAGATCTTACCCGAAAGCTAGTCTTCCAGCACATTGTTCTACTTAGATGGGCCATGAGATTAGCTAAACAGAACTGGTAACTGGGGCATAAGTGGGTATATAATAGGGTTGGAACCCAGTTACTAACCAGTACACTAATCCCATGGCTAAGTACATCTATTTTGTCAAATGGATGGTGCTTTCTGCATGTGTATATAGACACAAGTCTTGATTCCTGATTGGCATCGTGCATGTTTTTTTTGGGGGGGGACCCGTTCACAATGAAACTGCACTTCCCAGCTCGTTTTGGCGCAAGTCGCAATTTTTTTCATCCACCAGGCAGTTGAAATGGCAGCCGGGAGGAGTGTTGATGAGTATATGGATGTGTCCTAAAATGGGGGTACCCCAATAGCTGGATGGTTTATAATTTAGAATGGAAATTCTTGTTAAAATGGATGATTGAGGAGTACCCCCATTTCAGGAAACCTCCATATTGAATTGTGAATCATTTGCTTGGGTCCAAATGTTACTGGTTGAAGCATAGCAAAGGTCCTAGATACATTGCCATTTCTGAGAGTTTCGTGGGTTGTGCCCGTTGTGCCCTCGTGCAGGCACTTCCACAGGTGCTTAAAGCAGCAGTTTCCCCAACGGTTTGCCCTTTAAGCTAGTGTGCAGATCTTGGGAAGGCGATATGTACAGCCAAAGTCGCTAGCTGTTTTGGCTTTGTAACTTGCTTAATGCTCGCAGAGCAAGAGTAAAGGATTCCCAATTGTGCCATTGATGGGTGGTATAAACCATCAAAACCAAGATTCTTTGTTCTGCAGGGGCTATGAAATTCAAATCAATGATGTCATTCTCAATTTATCCCGCTTCTTGCTAATTTTGATTTCAACGCAATGCCGCATGGAAGCCAAGTTGCAGTTTTCAGCACAAATGTGCCAGATTCGATTTCAACATGACATCGTTGTGTGTGGGGCTGGAAGCATTAGGATAGAGAGTTATATATATATACACCTACATATACTTGTTGTTGGTGGTTTGGAACATTTCTTATTCTTCCATATACTGGGAATAATCATCCCAACTGACTTTCATATGTTTCAGAGGGTTAAAACAACCAACCAGTATAATATTCATGGTTAGATGAGCCATGATCTCTCGATCTGGCACCTGAAGACGGGAGGCACTAAAAGAGTGCTTCCCCTCTTATTTCTTGACATTCAAATCAAACATGTTAAACTATTATATAATTATATATAATTGTATGTGCAATATACACACAGCATGAACTTTAGTCAGTTCCCTCACTTAGTTTGCTTGTCAAATAGCTTTGTATAATTCCAATCTCCCTAGTCATTAACATCTTGTAATGGTCCCCAATATATGGATTCACCCCTTACTAAACCATCATTTCTTCGGCATGCAAAAAGGGAACACTCACCCATGAGTTTTCTGTATATTTACTTCCAGGGTATAGTTAGATTATGGATCCAGTGCCAAGCCCTTGCAGCCTCGGCCCATCCAAAGCTCGTCCTTTGCGCGTCGTGGAGTAGTGTTGCTTCAAGCGGATGAGGTCGGCCGAAAGGCGGAGACAGGGAAATCTGAAGAATTTTGAAACATGACCCGAAGATGGAACTAACAACATGATATCAACCCTGGATTATATATAATAAACCCCAAGCAGCTGTATAATTGGGGGGGTACCATTTAAGTGTCAGAGCATGACTATTGGGGAAGTATCCCCCGAATTAATAAACTATGGTTTATTGGGGGTACCTAATTTCAGTAGCCATAAAAATCACTGGGGGAAGCACCACACGTAATCAACCAGGGTATAAAAAAAAATCCGGGTTGACATGACTTTGTGAATCACCCCACTAGATCTGGGTAGTAACTGGGCCTTTTTCAGCCATCTAGAAATGGGATAAACCACTTGAACTTACTAACCAGGGTTATGAGCCACGTGCTAAGTGGGATGATCCTCCTGTAGTCAACTTGGCAATGGGAAATCCAATACAGATGGAAGTTTATAGCCGGAAAATGAACGAACTAAATGTGGGCTCCAGCTAGCCATGCTATGACTACCGGAGCCCATTTGTGGCCCTAAAATGAAGAATTATATCTATGATCATTAGAGTCATTAGAGCCAATACTAAATCAGGTTGTTTTTTGTTCTGTGGATTTTATTTAATATTAGGGTCTATTAGAAGAACAGGACATTTATGGACCCTATGTTTTTGGTGACACGTATTTCTACAACCGTGTAGGCGTTGTGATTTTCGTGGTCACCGCACATGGAAAGTATATGATTGGGGAGGTGGGGTGGGGTGGGATAATATCGTCCATGTACGCTTGCGGAACTAGTTGATGCTACGTTGATGGAATGTTCTAGCACACTGGCAGCTCTACGCTGTGCTACGTTGTTGGCACGGGTGGGGTGGGGTGGGGTGGGATAATAACGTCCATGTACGCTTGCGGAACTAGTTGATGCTACGTTGATGGAATGTTCTAGCACACTGGCAGCTCTACGCTGTGCTACGTTGTTGGCACGGGTGGGGTGGGGTGGGGTGGGATAATAACGTCCATGTACGCTTGCGGAACTAGTTGATGCTGTTTCTCCGAATCTTGGGAATGGCCCAAAAGGGTTCCCGCAAAATGGTAGTCGCACCGGCTGCCTTGACTTTAACAGCTCCTAAAGGAAAACCACCAACAGAATCCATTGACGAAATTCGTGACAGCGGCCTCTTGACACAATTTAACATGGAACTATTGTTTACCCAGATGGATGTCAAAGTTGGAAGACAGTCGCCAGAAAAAACCGCGAGCAACGCTTGGTGGTGAAGTCCGTGGTCCACATGCGTAGTGAATGGACTCGGAAGGTGCGAGTGCGGGGAAGAAAGAAAGTTGCAGGAACCCAACAAATTGATCGTTGTTGGAAACATCTCACAAAATTTTGCCCCAGTCAAATGAAGAACCGCACTGGCCCAACAATCAATGCTAGATTCTGGGATAGAATGTATCAATGGATCTATCGCCACAACATGTCCAAGTGAGACATAGCGAGCAGATGCGAGATGAAAAAAAGCCTCTGCAAACTTTTCGTCGTCTCTTGACGAAATTGCTGATTTGAAAAATGACAAAACGTGAGGCGTTTTGACACGTTGATGTCAAAAACACACGGTTGTGTAAATCCGTGCTACCTTTTTGGGAGTGTCCATGGGCATCATATTCTCTACAAGGTGTCAGAATTGATGACATATATGAAATTAATTTGGTCTGAAGGCGATGGAGCGAGAGAGAATTATATATCAAACGTGGCATCTTGCTGCCAAAAGAATGTCCCGGGTTAACACCTTAGATTTTTGTTATATTATCGCACTATATCACAATGAAATGGCTGACCTTATACCACCATATTTGAGGGCTAAATCTCCAATGCAGCAAGTGGGTTTGAATATGGAACTCCACAATCCCGTGGCTCATCAATTTGACCATCGTTTGCCCTATTCAAATGGCAGTTTTGAGAAATTACCCGATTTTCAGATTTCCAAGTGGTACTTTTGATCCCTGGTCTCAGCCGAAAAAGTGGACGACTGAAATGCGGGAGCTGCGCCGTTCCACCTGGCGGAATAGAGAGGTGCCCTGGGATGTCGCAGAGCCGAAGATTTGCCACGATTTGCCCGTGGACAATCATCGTACGCTCAGAGCATGGCAAAAAGGAGCTATTGTGAGAGGGCAAGTGGGTGTAGGGACCATTGAAAACAAATCGAATTTTCCACAAGGGTACGAAACTAGCTGACTAGGCAAAATATACTGAACAAATGCCACTTTTGAAGTTGTTGAATGCTAGAATAAAATAAAAGAAACTACATTGGTTGCTGATTTTCAAAAATCTCCCAGAAGATAGCAACGGATATGTCCCCCGTTGATAGATGATTTTCGCATGAAACATTCCATGTGTAGGGGATTTGCCAGCTAGTCACGCTCGATTTCACACCTCTTGGATGATGATCGTTGCCATGAAAAGACGAAGAATGATGGCCAGTATACAGTGGCAATGTGACGGAAAGAGCCCCAACTTCACCATAACAGATTTTACTTTCATTAAAGTAACCTATCAATTTTATGGCAATTATATACGTGCGATTCGATTTCTTTTTTCATGATATTTGTATGTTCAGTCTGTTCAGTCAAATTGAGAAATCACAAAGCAATCAGCAATCGTTCCGGCGCTTAGGCAAACTCAATTTTTGAGCGCTTTGCATGGGGACAACTGCATCCACACCCGCTTTCCCATTGGCGTCTTGGCAGCAATGGGCGCAATTGATATAACATCAAAGTGGCCGGCCCTGCATTTGTTCAACTTTGTTCATGTGTTTTTCCCCACTTTTGTACATCTATGTGTGTATATATTTATATTGTATTTATTTACATCATTCTCCATGATGTTTGAACATTTACACAAGCATCTACTGCAGTTCCATATGCATGAAACGCTCGCGCAC